TAGACTGGAGCAGGTTGCAGCACACCTGAAGTCTTGTGTTGTGCCAGCAGAGAAAGCAGCAGTAGCTGTCATGGAGAAATACGCCACGAGAAAGTCTCTCTTTCAGAGCTGCTGCAGGCAGGGGTACAGTCTCAGCCTCTGGTTTTTTGGCAGACTGAGCCTTTGCAAAACCCAGCGCTCTGGGTTTGACTTCAAAATCAATCTTGGCTGTTAGAAGAAAGAAGAGGCAGACAAGCACTCAGCTGTAGGAAGTCAACTGAGGCTTTGTAGAGTTATGCAGAGACTGTAAAGAATCTCGGGCCGCTTGGCTTGCAGTGGGGAATGCTGCTGGGAAATTCTGGCCCAGGGAGAGATTCCACATCCAAGTTCTAATCCTTCAGCTGCCAGCGTCTGTTCCCTTTGTTCAGCTGCACTGGTAGTGTAGCTGCCAGATCTCTCTGATCTAGAGGTGTTTTGACTGAGTGCAAGTCAGTCCTGTGCTTTTGGAAAGGGTGTTTTTAATTATTTTCATTTTTTTCATTTCTAACCAGGTATAATCCTTCTCAACTCCTGAAAACCACACAGCTTAGCAAAACAGAGGCTAAGCACAAAGAATAAAGAGGGACTAACAGATGTAAATTATCAGTTGTTTTATACACCTGAAGTTTGTTTAAATTCACTGAATTTGAAGCAGATGTCTTGTAATATTTTATAACATGCTGATACAAAAAGTTTACGTCTTGGAACTTTCAGCAAAACACTGTCCACCCCAGAACATGGATTTTAGAAATGAAAAGAGAGGAAAATGAAAAGCCAGCTAATTTTCCACTTTCTTAATTGTTTTTAATAAGCCTTCACAGACTTCTCCACCTTTGGATACTACTCCTTGTAATGCTTAGGAGTGGGGAGGCAAAGGTTCAGAAAGTTCATTTTCAGAAATAAGACCAGGGGTCCTCAACTTTTTTCTAAATCCTTTCTGATAAGAAGAATCACCGACTTTAGACATTCTAAACAGTTGGGAGATCTAACACCAGTCTTGGAAAAATTGTAACTTTTAAGTTTTTGAATTACAGAAGTTTGTATTTTCTGTTAGGGTCGAGGCAGTTTAAGGATAAGAGCACAAGGGGTTAACTGGATGGAGATTCAGCCACACCAAAAACGCTGCCCACCAATGAGCTGATGTTCAGGGGGAGCTGAGTGTAGCAGTGCAGCTCCTCTGTGTGAGGATATCGGCACTAGGTGTTGTGTTTTAGAAGTCTTGTGACGGTTTCCATGGAGATCAGGCTCTAGGGAACTCTGCAAGCATCACAAACTTGGGACTGTGGTCACAAACTCTGCTGCTGAGCAGAACAGACAGCACAGCAACTTCTGGGCTTCAGGAAAAGCCTGAACCAAGCCTGAACCGCCCCAGCCAACTGGGCTGAAATGGGAAATTTGGAGGGTTTTCTTAACTGAGCAAAATAATGTAAGCTGCAGTATAAATTTAATTGCAGATGAAAAGGAAGCAGAAATCTCCTGTTACTGGGAAGTATCAAGGGAGTAAAATCCAAGAAACAGCTAATCTGAGCACAGAAAGGAACTGAGGCGAAATTAATTTGTCTTCAGGGAATGAAGAGAATAGTTAATTCACTTCCAAATAGCATTATATAATGAACTCCAGTTCAGGAGCAGAGCTGTGAGAGGCTTCTAGTTGGTAGCTCAGTTGTGTCCCACTGCATGCAGCTCTTGCCTTGCATTTGTAAATGCTGTCAGTGAGGCAGACTCTTCCAGGGATTTGAAATGGTTCCTGCTCCGACTCCAGCAGCGTAGAGCTGCAGTCACAGGATGAGAGCAGTCCCAGGAGGAAGGTGCAGGGTGGTTTGTGGCTGTTGCTGGGCAGGGAGGTGCTCTGCAGGAGGAGCTAAGTGTGCTCCAAGTGCCGCTCTGCGGGGGGCACACGGATGTGCTCTGCAGTAGGTACGGAGTAGCTCAGGGAAGCAGAGGGAGCAGGAGGTGTAGTCTCTGGCTAGGTTTCTGTAGCTGCCTTTTGATTTTGCAGAAGAAGCCACCACGTGAGAATGATCACAAGCAGATCAGTAGCAGCTCCACTGGATGTCATTCTCCAAATGCTACTGTTCAGAGTCCTAAACACGAGTGGAAAATCATTGCTTCAGAGAAGACCTCGAGTGAGTAACAGGGGCAGGGCTTGTCTAACAGATGTGTCTGGTATCGTGTACCCACCACCTCCTGCTCCCTGGGGGTTTCCTTCAGCATCTCTGAGGAATGCAGAAGTGCTTTTCCTTACAAGTAATTGATGGGATGTTTCTAATGTAACTGGGATCACATACACCTCAATTCCTTGTCTACAGGGCCATCCCAAATGCCAAGGTGTGCAGCAGTTACCCAGAAAAGCCTAAGGAGATAGGCAGTCCCTCATTAATTAGCAGAGCTCTTTGCTCTGGGTGTGTGCGGAGACTCTCCCAGCACATCCTTAGGTTGCTGTCTTACGTTCTTCGAGTACTGTTTTAGTACTTAAAACTCAGATTTTTCAGTAATAACACTTTTTCTAACACTTGGAAAAACAGTAACCAGAAAAAACCCAAGGAGATAAGGGGAGGAGCAGAACCAAAAGACCCTCGTTGGCTTTCACTTGGGGTGACCCACGACTTTACTGACCTCGGCGGTCTCTCCTTGTCTCCCGCTGCCAGGTAACACGTACCTGTGTCTGGCTGTTCTGGACGGGGTGCTGTGTGTGATCTTCCTGCACGGCCGGAACAGCCCGCAGAGCTCCCCCTCGAGCACCCCCCGGCTGCTGAAGAGCCTCAGCTTCGAGCTGCAGCCCAGCAACGTGGTGGAGAAGCCCATGTCCCCCATGCAGTATGCTCGCTCGGGGCTGGGCACGGCCGAGCTGCACGGCAAGCTCATCGCTGCAGGTCAGGGCACGGGCAGGGGGCTGGGGGGTCCTCACCACCGCCCGCTGGGGTTCCTCAGCATCACAGCACGTGGGCTCGAACGGTGGTGCCACAAGAGCCTTTGCTTCCAGGTGGCTACAACCGGGAGGAGTGCCTGCGCACGGTGGAGTGCTACGACCCGCAGAGCGACACCTGGACCTTCATCGCGCCCATGAGGACGCCCAGGGCGCGGTTCCAGATGGCAGTGCTGATGGTGGGTGCACACACGGGGCACGCTGACTGCCAGGAGGGCTTCCTCTGTGCTTCTGGGGCGCTCCAGTGCTGAAAGGGGGGGTGTTTGTTCCACTCAGGGGCAGCTCTACGTCGTGGGGGGATCCAACGGCCACTCGGATGACCTGAGCTGTGGAGAGATGTACGAGCCAGAGATCGACGACTGGACTCCTGTCCCAGAGCTGAGGACCAACCGCTGCAATGCAGGTGAGGCCTCTGCAGCACAGGGGGCTGGGGTGTTTTAAATTCACTCCTTTCCTTACCATTCTGTCCCTTGTGAACAGGAGTGTGTTCCCTGAATGGAAAGCTGTACATCGTGGGTGGTTCTGATCCTTATGGCCAAAAGGGACTGAAGAACTGTGACGTGTTTGATCCCGTAACAAAGTCCTGGACAAGCTGTGCTCCCCTGAACATCCGTAAGTTCGTTGTGTAGTCAGGAGGGAGGGGGAGAGAAGGGCAACTGCAAAACTGCCGCAAAGCAAAACCCAAACCAAAGCGAGCTGAGCTGCTGTGGGATGTTGGTGCATGGCTGTTGCTGGCGTTCGCTTGCAGGGAGACACCAGTCGGCCGTGTGCGAGCTGGGGGGGTTCCTGTACATCATCGGGGGAGCCGAGTCGTGGAACTGCCTCAACAGCGTGGAGCGTTACAACCCCGAGAACAACACGTGGACCCTCATCGCGCCCATGAACGTGGCACGGCGCGGTGCCGGCGTGGCCGTGCGGGAAGGTGCGGGGCTGCCAGGGGCTCCCGGGGAGGGGGCTGGCTCTGAGGGGGGCTCTCTTGGTAGGGGCTGCTGCTGCAGGGCCTGAGCAGCGTCTGGTGCTTGGTGACTGCTCCACGTTAAGCTGCGATGTTAGTGGAGTACAAAGCTGTGTTCCTGCTCGGGGAGGACGCAGTACAGTAAGAACCTGGATTAAAGAAAAGTAATCAGAGAGTTTTGGGGCATTCCCTGTTTGCTCTTTTCAGAGCACTCCAGAGCTGCACCTGTTTGCATTTGGACTTTTCCCTGGCTCTGACCCAGGTTCCCCTCAGCTGCCACGCTCAGGAGAGCCAAAGCGGGTCACCTTGTCACTGCCAGACCCCCTGGGGTTCCTCCTTCGGGCTGGGTCTGCATTCCCAGGAGGAGGCTGGGACCCAGCGCCCATCCTGTGCCCTTTCCCTTTGCCAGGCAAGCTGTTTGTGGGCGGCGGCTTCGACGGCACGCACGCGGTGAACTGCGTGGAGATGTACGACCCCGCGCGCAACGAGTGGCGCATGATGGGCAGCATGACCACGGCCCGCAGCAACGCCGGCATCACCACCGTGGGCAACACCATCTACGCCGTGGGCGGCTTCGACGGCAACGACTTCCTCAACACGCTCGAGGTCTACAACCCCGAGAACAACGAGTGGAGCCCCTACACCAAGATCTACAAGTTCTGAGTGAATTAAATCCCCTTTTCAGACTAACAGGCTTAGTGATGTAACTGTGTGTCAGTAGAGGTACACCTGTGAATAGGGGCGGGGAGGGCATAGACGTTGCCAACAGCAACACAGAGCTTTTGCATATTGCATATTAATGTGCTGTACATATTTTGTTTTGGAAAGAATATTGAGATGAAGGGGGTTTTTGTGTATTTTAGAACTTTTGTTTTGGTTTTGTTTTCAGGATTTTGAAGATAAAGCAGGAGAAACTAGACTGGGCATATCATTTCAGGAGCTTCCCCCAGTGTTTGTTCTGTCACTTTGCACATGAAATGGCTTCCTGTAGGTGTGTTCTCGGGGCAGGAAGGGTAAAGTTTGGGGGAATAGTTGTTTTTTCTTTCTCATCAGGCCTTGGTTTCCTTCAGTAACTGGAACAATCTGTAACAAGAAGCCTTATTTAAATAGATATAATGGCTATTTTTTTTATTAAAAAAAAGCTGACATGCCTCTGCTAATACCTTATCTTTTACAATTGCCTTTTTATAACAGTTTTTATATACTCAGCAGAGTATTTTGTCTGTTGAAATGCACATGGCAGATCAATGGTTATTGGAACAAAGAGACAACCTTGGAGTTCATAGAGAGCGAGTGGGACAGTGGACTCACCCGTGTGGGAGCTTTGCCTCTGCTGCAATAGTGTAAGTTAGTCTGCACCACCTACCTTAGAGCTGCACAGGCTTTCTGAGACACCACAGCTGAGACTTCCTGGGGGGGAGAATTCCTTTGGCTCTGGGTGTTTTGGGGACGCAGAGCGCTTTCTGTACAGCCCTTTGTTACTCTGGGTGAGCTGATCTTTGTCCTCAGCTCGGGGAGGGGGGTTCTCATGGGTGGGTTTTCAACTCTTGCCAGCTGGCACTGAAAATGTGTTGTAGTAACTGTCTTAAGTTTATTTTTCTAATATTCCGAGCTGGAAGTGTGATAGAACACAAATAACTTGATTTCCTATGTGCTCATAGTCCTGTTTTCGTTCACTCTCTCTGTTCCTCTGGATCAGCTGTTGGGTTGGGATGACTTGGTGTCTAATGTGTAGTGCTGCACACCTAACTGGGTGCCAAACTAGCACTGACTGCTTGCTGCTGCTGCAAACACATTAAAGGTACCTTTTGGGAAACCCTCGCACCACAGGCGTGCCCTGAGCTCTCTGTGTCCTTTTCTTTGCAAACAGAACTGTGGGATTCTAAAAACGACCCTTTGGATGGGTGCAGGTCCAGGAGCAAGGAAGGGGGTGTTTAACTGACAGCCCTGGAGTAGAATGGAGGGGGTGAAGTGTCCCTCGTGCTGCTGGAGGGCACAGGGCTGAGCAACAGCCCTTGTGTGGGACTGGGAGATCTCCTGCTTCCAAGGCAGAGCCACTCAAGAATTAACCACCGTTTATTTTAACAATAAATTACATCTGTACAATCGAGGTTTTACAAATACATCCAGAAGTTAATATCAAAATAGACCCTTTAGAACTTTGCCAGTTGTCTCTCGTCTCTGTACAAATGCACACACAGAAGAGGTAGCGTTAGAAAGGCCTTGGAAAATGGCTTTTGGAAAGTTTCACGGGCTTAAAGCAGTTCTGGAAAGCAACCAGCAGTGCAGTGAGAGAGGGCACCTGCAGAGCAGGGTGACCAGTCCCACCTTGGCAGGAGGAGGTGGCAAGAGAAGGATGAGGAGTTTCCCAAAGAGCACTGCCAGCAGGTTTCCACTGTATGAAGGTTAAGCAGGCATTTTAACAAAGGAAAAACATCCCTTTCCTCTGTGAAGGGCTCCAGGACAAACACACCTGCAGCAGGGAGGGGGTTCTTTAAAAACAATGAGCATCCATCTGTCCCCGTTGTCCCTCCTCAGTCCTTCATTCCCAGCCTTGTCCTCGGCCCCTTTCCATCCTCCAGAGCCCCCCAAGGGACACAACAGACTCTTTTATCTCCCCTGTCACTTCTAAAGTACCAGCAAAACAAACAGAGCGTTTTCCTATGGGCTCATTAACAGCACTCAGAGCAGCCCGGCCCCGAAGCCGTGGTTTTCCTGGGTATCCATGGATATCCAGCCGGGACCCTCCTTTGAGACAGAGCATTCCATTTCAGCAGAAATTCGACATTTAATGTCCACAGGTAACCAGGTTCTTTTCCTTCAACTCCCAACACAAACCAGCACCGTAGAGAACAAAGAAGGCAGGTTTTTGGCTCCTCCAGCACCTCCCTCTCCTCCCCTGGGGAGTCAGGGTTCACCTGGGCCAGGCCAAGGCAGGGCTGAGCCCCCCGGCTCCGGGTCACAACCCTGGGATGTCCCAGCCCAGGGATGTCCCAGCCCGGGGATGTCCCAGCCCGGGGAGTCACAGCCAGCCCCTGCTCTCGGCCTCCCTGTGTGCCGACACCTGGCACTGCTCCAGGGTCTGCTCCAGCTGTGCCAGCTGGCAGCAACCAACTTCCAGCCTTTCCCTAGGGAAGAGACAACAGTTAGGACACAGTGGACCCATTGCACAGACGGGAATCTTTCCAAATATTCCTTGAAAAGAAAATAAGTTTTCAAGAAGGAAATCTCCATAAAGCTCAACAAGCAGCAGTGACTTTTATGTGAATGCCTTAAAACAGCCACCCCGCAATTGCAGCAGGCAGAGCTCTGCTCCCTTTCCCTGGGTCAGGGGAAGGTGGAGGAATCAGTCACATCCTCCAGCTTTCTGGACACATTGAGGATTCTGGAAGGTTCCATTCAAACCATCTTTCATATTTGCATACACTGTATTTATACACCCAAAGCAAGTCTCTTGCCTACACTGATTTATGATTTACACCTTTCCCTCAAAAGAGGGATCCAAACCTGATCACATGTAAACATTCCATAACTTTGGTTTCCAAGAGATTATTTCTCAAAAGACCATTTAAAAGCTACTCCTCAAAAAAAGAGGAAAAAAACCCCATCCCTGAGTTCCACAAGTGCAGCCTGAGCCAGACCAGCCTCCGAAGTACTTCTGTTTTCTACTCTGCTGAGCACAAATTTCCACCCCCTCTTCTCTTCCTGCCTGTGTTGATGCAGGTCTAGAGCCAACAGCCAGAACTGGTTCTTTCACTTGGATTGACTTCTAATCCATCCATGTGGTGGTTGACCAGTGCCCACCAAAGCCACTGTCACTGCCCTCCTCAGCTGGACAGGGGAGGACAATGTCACAAAAGGACAGGAGAGACTCACCAGTCACCACTGTGACTGGGGAAAATCACCTGAATGAGTTCCCAATGGAATCACAGCAGGAGAGAGAGAAATCAACCCAAATCTCCAAACTGCTCCCTTCTTCCTGGGCCCAACCTCACCCCCGATTCCCTGCTCCCGATTCCCTCCCCTCCCGGTGCTGCAGGGGGATGGGATTGGGGGTTGTGTCTCTGCTACTCCTCCCTCCTCAGGAAATAAAACAAAAAAAACCAATCCCCACTCATTTTCCCCCTGCCCCTCCTACAAAGGGGGTTTTGGATTTGCCCACGTGATTTCTCTCAGGGGACCCTGGTTAATCCATGGTAAAAGGCACGTTCAATCCATGCTAATCCATGTCAAAACGCTGCCTCAACCCCCCCGTGTGGTCAGGCACTGCCTTACCTGTACAACTCCTGGGAAACACACCCATAAAGCTCCTCAGCAGTGAATTTCAGACTGTTATTCACCTAAAACAAAGAAGGAATATAGTAATTTATCAAGTACCACATCTCCAAGATATCTGTATCTGTGTATATAGATATGTACAGCTGGTATCACACACAGGTAATGTATTACCTAACAGCTCTCAGGGTGAGAGAGTACATTAAAAAAGTCATCCTATGTGCTATAAAATCAAATATTACAAACTCCAGCTTCGTTTTCTAACCATTTCTGTGCAAACCTGAAAGACCTTAAATAACTCTTCCTCCTCTCTTAATTTACCCAGTAGTTATGTGCATATACATATACACCCCCCTCAAATGAAGATAGATCACATCAATGCAAAAAATACATGTACAGGTCCCAAGCCCAAATATATTTTTCTGTATAGTAGAGCACTGAAAGCCTCTGAAATATGGAATACACTAAATAGAAACATATTCTACTGCAAACACTCATTTCAAGGCTTTTTACTCTCAACAGAGACTCGTTCACACCAAATAAGTGCTCAGAAAGTCACACAAAGAACTGGGAGAAATCTGAGTACATTCGGCAGGTGCCAACCAAAAATGTATCTTTATGTTTCAACACCTCATAAATAAGGGCAAATAAACAAAACAGAAGTGGAAACAGAGTGATGAGACACAACCTCAGAGCTCCTGGAAATAAGAAGTGTGAGTGAAGTGACCGAATACTCCAGAAAACATCCTACCTCGTGTCTTCTGAGGAAGTTATAGAGGGTCCAAATATCTTGGAAACTGCTTGTGGGGCTCAAAATTCTGAAAGAGAAAAGTTTGGGGTTTTTTTTAAAGCAAGTGTAAAAGGATTCTGTGAAAGGGTTAAAAAAATAGTCAGAAATGCTTCAAGGGGAAAAAAAAAATCTAATTATTTTCTTTAAACAAAAAAGAAATTATGAACTTTGAAGAATTTTTCCTTTGCCTCCTCTAAAAGAATTAAAAAGCTTATTATTTCTGTGAGGACCTTCTCTGGAGGCTTTTCCTCATTACAAATGCAATCCACGTTTCTCGTGGGCGATTCCTCCCCGAGGAGGGAAGAAACCCAGCAATAATTAGAAGCCTTTTGCTGCCCATCAGCAAAGTCCTGCTGGATTCATGTGGAGCCACAGCAGAGCCACTCAGGACACCCACCCAGCTTTCCCACAGCAGCTCCAGCTTTAACTCCTTCCCTTCAAACTCCCAGTCCCTTCCCACTTTTCCTGCTTCTGCTAATAATTCCCACCCAGTTCTGCCCAGGGACTGTGGGATGTGGCAGCTGAAGGGATGTGGCTTTAGGAAGAACCTCAAGGGACAGCCTTTCCCAGCTCTGATCCAATAAGGAAGTGGGTTTTCTCCCCAAATTAATTTTCCTCCTCTGCTTGAGCAGCTACAATTCAGTTCCACCTCAGTGGAACTTCATTTGCATTCCCCAGGGAAAAGCAGGACCCCCCTAAATGCTGCAAAATGTACCTCAAATCCACATGGAAACACACAGAACGCTTGATATATACTACGAAATACTGACAGAGTTCTGCCTCTGAAGTTTTAAATAGGTAAATAATCATTAAGATAATGACCAAGTTTGGAAAAAAAAAACAAACAACCCTTTCTGAGAAGTTCCATTTACTTTCTCATGGGAAAGTGCCCAAATTCTCCCCTCCCTCCCTTTGCAAGCTGTAAGCCTTTATAAGTGAATTAATTAGGAACTGAAAAACTGGAAAACTTAAGGCATAAGTTGAAAATCCAGTTAAAAGACACTGTATTTGAAGCAGGCTGGGAGCCCATGACACAGCACAGGATTTACTGAACTAGGAACTTCAGTGCTTATTTCCATCACGATTTTACATAGGAATTATCACCAAAAGTTCCCTGCAAGCTCCCAGGCCTCAGGTGGGTGGACAAACCCCCTGTGCCTCTGGTTCTTTGGGAAAAAACCCCAAAATAAAATGTGTAAATAACCATCCACTGCTTCTCTGTCTACACTGTGTTTCAAAAGCAGAGGGTGCAAATCGTCTTTTTTTTTTCTTTTTTTTGCATTTCTGTCAGCACAGCCAAACCAAACTACAACAGCCCACAGGATGAAATTCAACTTTAATGAATCCAAGTCACGCTCTCAGCAGGGGTTGGCAAGGAGGGGTGACACAGAAGCTGCACTGCCACTAAAATGCAATTTATTGATCAACCCAGAGTGGTTCTACAGTTTCCTGGAAATATTCAGCATGTGAGGCAGAGAATGTTATGGACACAACAAGTGCCTGTGGATACCTGCTCCAAAAGGGAGGTTAAATGTTGTTCTGGGGCCAGAAAGGACAAAGGAGAGAGTCACTCTTGATGCTTTTATCTCCTAAGCAACAGAGCTTCCCAAACCACTGCAGATGTTCCTTCCCTGGCACTCACCTGATGCCAAACTCGTGCACAAAGTGTAAGAGACGGGAAGAGATGGACAGGAGAGAGCTCAGGATGTGGTTCCTCGCCCGTGCCAACGCATTTGGGAAAAAGTAAAACCTCTCTGAAAGAATCAGCAAATGAACTTCTCAAACAGAAGGGGGAACCTGGCGGGAAAGTCAGGGACTTTTCCCAGGGCAAAGCTTCCCTTTCTTCCTGACACAGATCCCTGCCCTGGCAGCCTGAGGGAAGGACAGTTCCCTCACTGGACACCAAGAAAAAGAAATCTCGATTCCTTGGATGAAAACAGTTTCTGTCCCTCTGCAGAACTGCAGAAATGAGTTAAACTGCAGAACCACTGCGAAAGGATTTAATGCCAACCTTCAGTGATCACTTCTGATACAGGAACAGCCCCCCCTGCACTGCTGAGATCTTAAAAAATTACACTTCTGATTTACAAATGTTCCTGGAGCCCTCGTCTAAGCCAGTGTCTTCCAAACCATTGGGAGTGGGAGAGAAATTCCATTTAGATAAAATATTAGAGAGCAGAATTCAGGTTCCTTCCTGCAGTGAGCAGGGCAAATATTTTTACAGTTGATACTATATTAGTATAAATATTTATGAGGATTGTATCTAAGAGGACGTGAGGGATTTTAAAGCTGGCACAGGAACAAAACAATTATTTCTTAGCCAACAGATGGAAAAAAAAAATCCAGCTAGAAATAAGTGTATCAATTCACCAAAGGCTGAATTTTCTTTCTTTTCTAAGAACAAGGATTTATCTCAAAGGAACTTGGCAGGAAACATCAAGACATGTAAAATTTCCCTATAAACCTTGGAATCAGATCTAATCAGCCAAGGGAAAATGTCAACTATTTTAAAGATTTAATTTAAGAGACCTTAAATTAGGTCCCTTAATTAACTGCTTCCAAATAATACCCACCTCAAACACAAATATAAACACTCAGAAATACTATTTAAAAACGTGTCATGGTCTCACAATTTTACCTGACTTAAATTTCAGAGTTTAATAATCTTTGTTCATGATTAGTAATGACATATAGTTGCTAACCATAGAATTATTGTCTCAGTTTTAGAGCTGAAGCACTGTCAGACATTTCTGGCACGCAGAGTTTTGCAATTTAAATCCCATTCTGCTCCCAGTGCTGTCAGAGGAAGGAGCCAAGATAAAATTAAAAATGTCCAAAGAAGAAAAGGGTAAGATGTAAAAAGCTGTTAATTTGACAACTTCCATCAAACAGCCTTTTTTGTTGGTTTTTTTTTAACATCTGTATCTGTCCTTACCATGTTCTGCTCATCAAGCCTGAGCAGCTGGAGCAGTACCACCAGTGGAGTCTTTTTTTCTGACTAAGGGCATCTCACACACATTTATCTCAACAAGTGTCATTGTGCTTTTCTAATTGTTTCCAACACTCTGAAAATCTAAACTTTTAATGCAGCTGAACTTTCAGGATAATTTCACTGTCAGACTTCCAAACTTTCACAAGGTGTCTCCCACTCTTTGTTCTGGGCAGCAAGGACCCGAAGGGAACACAGAAACCATTTGCATTTTAGCACTAAAAGCTCCAAATATTCAACCTGGAGCTTTTGCACTACTTTTTATCCAGGGTCTCCTTTTCCGCTACCATATAATTTAACTATAAGTCACCAAAAGGTATTTTTTCAGAAATCAAGGACAGAAATCAAAGTTTTAGAGCAAAATGGAAGTGAGAAGGTTCTCACCTTCCAGTGGAAGGTGTCCCTGCCCAGGGCAGGCGGTGGAACGAGAGGAGCTTTAAGGTCCCTTCCCACCCAAACCAGTCTGGGATTCCAGGAAGACTTCACAACTTTTGCTTTAATTCCTATATAAATGTACAAGGAGTCCTAAATCTGGTTTCTGACTCTTTGGAAGCCCCACTCAGAAGTCTCCAGGTCCCTTAAAGCCCTGCACTCCAGGCCAGAGCAGCAGAGCCCTGGGTGCAGATTCTCCCCATTTTTTGCTCCACGATGCCACCTACTGCAAACCTGCACATCCTTTCCAAAGGGAAACCTCCAGGAACACTCTCCATTCCAAGGAATCATCCTGTGCACTCCAGGTTTCATTGTTACACAGCTCTCCCAGAAGGGGGAAGGTGGGAGGTGAGGAGCTTTCACTAAAATGTAACATTTTCCACCGAAACACCTCTGTGAGGCAGAAACAACCATCCCCAAGCACCATAATCCCAGGAAATCTCAGCCACCGTGGCTACAAATTGATACCATAGGATTTGCTGCAAAAACTTTGGGATTGGGATGAAAAAAGCAAAGTTTAGCAGTAACCTGCTTAATTAGAACAATTTTCTTAGAGAAAGAAACCCACTAGCAATAAAATGAACCTGTTGGCACCAAGTTGCTCCAGCTCATGTTTCTACCAATATTTTTCTGTCTCTACTTTCATAATACTCAGATCATTTCTCTTTGAAAGACAATTCTTTGGATGGATTTATACTACACTGCTGTAAAAAAAAGGAGTAAGATTACCCAGGAAATTCATTATTCCTCCTGAAACTTCCATTTTATTATTCCGCTCTCTTGGAAAAATGGGGGAGGACTGACCTCACACTGACAGAGCAGTTTTAAATGGGATACTAGGAAGGAATTGTTCCCTGTGAGGGTGGGGAGGCCCTGGCACAGGTTGCCCAGAGAAGCTGTGGCTGCCTCTGGATCCCTGGAAGTGTCCAAGGCCAGGTTGGACGGGGCTTGGAGCAACCTGGGCTGGTGGAAGGTGTCCCTGCCCATGGCAGGGGGTGGATGAGTTTTAAGGTCCCTTCCCACCCAAACCATGCTGGAATTCTGTGATTCTACGAAGGCAGAGGGAATATGATCCTTCCTAAATGGAGAGTGCAGCTGCTGCTCATTGTCAGGGCTGGGACACAGGTTCTGACTCCTGAAGAACACTCTGGAATTGGGAACAAAGCCCCAAAATGTTGTGTCCTTCACCACACTGGAGATCTGCCCCCATTCCATGGGGCCTTGGCAAGCCAGTGCTCTGAATTATTCAAAGCTGCTGCCATCAGAGCTGATGTATTAATCATGTCCCAGCTCCAGTTCCCCTCGGAGCAGAACTGACCTGCTTGGCATCAAACATGGAAAAACAAATCCCAGGGCTCTCCTCCCACAGAAGAGAAAATTCCCTGCAAGAGATCTCAATGTCTGCAGCGGTTTCATGTTCTTTGGTTACCAAGAGATGGTTCTATGTAGCCTTGACACCAAGATTTCCACTGGGAATCACATAACTAAGCATGCAGAGCACAAGTGTGGTTTGGTATTGAAATATTTCAGTGACTTTTAGGGACTTCAAGTGACTGTTACTCACTTTTCTGCCCCAGCTGGAATGCTCACCTACTAATTCCTTCCTGGATATCCTTCACAGCTGCCAACAGCTTCTGCAGGCCTAAAAAAGCTTCCTCAAATGAAGACTTTGCAGCCATAGTCCCTGCACTGGGGTCCAACTTCTGGAATATTTCAATACTAAAATTAAAAAGAAACAAAGAAGAGACAGAGGAAAGCAGTTAATAAAAATCCTCAGAGTGCAGAGAAACTCAGTATCTGTTGTGTGCATTGTATTTGGTCTACTAAAAAAACTAGATCAAATATAAACTTATACTAAACCCATGTTGTGTAAAACAGTCTCAGAACAAAATAACCGAACTAAAAGCAATGGTAAAACACTCAGATGGAAAAGGGGTTCATTTCCTGCAATTCTGAGTTTCCATGAGAAAGGAAATTCATCCCTAGACTCTGCAGTTGGATTTTATTCAGTGAAGGATTCTGCTTCACAAGAAAACGTTTTCTATTTCAAACTGATTAAAGGTTAAAAATAAGGTAAAGAGTTTCGTACACCTCCACTGGATTTGGAAAGAAATAACCACAAGAAATCTTGGAGCTTGAACGCCTCTTTTCATGGATAAATATGAGATTTCCATGAATGTCTCACATTTGTGGGGTTTTCAACAACATTTTCCAAGGCAATTTATTTCAGTTGCTGCCCACAATAGAGCAGCAGAAGGACATAATTTGCATGCTCCCAACTTCTTTGTGTGACAGGTTGTGTGATTTTTTTGCGGGGTTTTTGGGTTTGATTTTGATTAATTATCAATAGATTTTATTCTAAAACAGTGGGGGGAAAAAAGCTCAATTTTTAAGTGTGCTTGTTTGAAAATTATTTAAGGTTCTGTAGAAGTTCTGAGCTCCTTTAGCTTTACCTGTAGAGGTTCATTGTGTTCCAAACACCCTCAAGGACCGACCAGATTTCCTGGTGCCTGCTTTCCTGAGCCACATGAAAGCTTGGATGTAACACTTTTTCTTCAGGGTTTGGCAGATTGGGTGTCGTGGCTTCCATTTTTTCAGCATTTTCTGAAAGAACCATGATGTCTTCTGATAAATGCTGCTCACTGTCTGCCCTCACCTTATAAAACAGTTCAGCAAACAGATCATGAATGTATTTGGTTCCTAACTTGAGAAAACTAGAACACTTCTACACACTAAGAGCAGTAGTGAGGGACTCATAGTGTGGGATTCCTTCTCCAGAAGGAGAAACAGCAATTTAATCTTTAAGGCCCATCAGCTACAAATGCAACAGAAAGCTAAGACAAAATAATGTTTCTCAGTCACCCTCCCAATACTAACACAAATACTGGGGGGAAAAAGGAGTCTCCCAAATATCTACAGATATTCACCATGTGAAAATTAAAGTTAAAGTTGGGGTCTGTTCACTCTGAAAAGATACCAGCGACAACATTTCCTGCAAAACTTAGTGGAAATGATGGGAATAATTAAGAAATCTAAGCCAGGTTTGTAATATGACCGTGGAACAAGTTGAGGTGAACAAGCACTGGAGCTCCTCTCACCTCTGCCAGCCTCTCCCACAGTTTGGTCAGTGCAGTGTAAGCCTGGGGCAGGACACCGTTGTAGTCCGACCTTGAGCTGAAAGCATGGAGTAATTTTTTGGATTCCTGGAGCAAGACACGCACTGTTGAGGAGTCAAATGGTTTATCTGATATTTAGACATCAATATAAGAGGAAAAAAAAATAAATGTTAGGAGTTATCAGTCTTGGCAGGCAAATTTAATACTCAAATATCCCAAGAGAGGCAGAACCACAGAATGGCCTGAGCTGGGAGGGACCCTCAAGGACCACCCAGTCCCACTTCTGGCCCTGCACAGACACCCCAACAATCCCACCCTGTCCCTCAGAGCACTGTCCAAACCCTCCTGCAGCTCTGGCAGCCTTGGGGCTGTGCCCACTGCCCTGGGGAGCCTGGGCAGTGCCAACCACCCTCTGGGGGAGTTTAACAGGAATATCTGATAAAATCAAATCTTAAAAGACATCTTTAAACAAGTCAAAGGTTTGTGGGGGTTTTTTTTGTTGGTTTTTTTTGAAAACAAACCTCCCTGTCCTCATGTGCCACATCAAGTGTCCTTTGCTACTCCATAATTTCTTTGGCAATAGATCATTTGTAGATTATTTGCCCACATAACACAGGGGCAAAGGAGGGAAAATGATTATTTGCTTTTTCAAAATAGTTCAGAGACTTTGGCAACCATTAATACACAGAGTCTGTAACTATAACCAGAACAGTGAGGTTTTTTACAAGTTTACAATTAACATTCTCCAGGATTTTTACCTGTACAAAGGTGTTTAGAGAGACACTCAACAGTTGAAAGTAAACTCCTTGGCACCACATAACCAAAAACAGCCATCCAGTGCTTTTTATAACACTTCAGCAGGTTTACTAATGTCCATGGTGGCTTCAGATACAGGATCTGAAAGAGAACACGTTAGAAATTCAAAGGCTGCTTTTCATTTACACCTATTCCTGTGCATTCCACAACTGCTCCACTCTCTCTGTTCTCCCCTAATGGATGATTTGTCATTGCTGAAGTAGAGTTTCAGTGATTCCTCAAAAATAAGGCTTTATTCACATGTAACGAGTTTATCTATTAAATAAAGATTTGATTCAGCAGCATGGGTTGAATAGTGATGCTCATGTACAATGTACAATCACTCCCATAATTTCTGGTTCCTCTTTCCTCTAAAAACAAAATCCAAATGCTCCTGGGTTATCTCAAAGTGATTAATGTGTTACTTGTGCACAAGAGCCAGAACAACAATAAATATGCCTTTGGTTTTCTAGTATTGCTAAACAATAAAAATAAAAATTGCTGACTGTATACACATGAAGTAACACGTATGTATTGCAAAAAATTGAAATTTATGAGTATCAAGTGAAACCAGAGTTTGAAGAGATGTTAACAGAAATGAACTAAGTTAAACAGAAGTGACCAAAAGCTTAACTGTCATCCCATGACTTTCTGGGGTTTTTTTAAAGCCACAGAGGCTTATCTGCAAGAAATTTAAACTTCTAATTAACCCCCACCAGCTATGAAATGGAATCTAAACCAAAGCATGGACAATTTATAGTGCCTGGTCCTTGGGTACAATTTCTGTTTAAAATACTTTTGAAAGAGTGTTTGGAGGTCCTCATTAACACCCTTGTAATTCTGCATCTGCACTGTAATCAATTGAGCTGTGAGCAATTTTATCCACAAGGTATCTAAAAACATCTGTTGTGGTGGGGAAGAAATGCCTGCAAGAAGAGCCCCAGGATTACACAGGATGTGATGGAATGATTTCTTGCAGGACATAATTACAATGCAGTGGTTTACCCAGACTAGAAAAGCTGAAATAAATAGAATTTTAATGCAACTAATAAAAAGCATTCTGAAAATTCACACTGAGCAGCCAGCATCTCTGCCACTGCATTATTAAAATTCTGTTAAAATACTGCACAGTCATTACTGGTCAAATAGAACAACCTCGTTATAAATGAAATATTAGAAATGAACCCTGAGTTGTCCACTGGCAGTGAACTGGATAACTGAGCTGTTTGCCTTAGCACAGGTATTACTATCATTAAAACATTAAGGACATTTAAACTTCTTCATACTTGAAACATCAAGGAAGATGATATAAAACCCACCTCCATCCACAGGTTTCCGAATGCAAGTTTCATTTCAGTCTCCAAAATACAAGACAAAGCTTCTCCTAAGTTCTTCTCAAGGTCTGGAAGCACATTTGGGAACTGAGCAGTGAACCCAGCATCACCTCCTTGTGTCTTCTCAAATTCTGTATCTGCCAAACCAGTGATGTAAAAGGTATTTATTGCAACTGTTTCTGTATCTAATTTGTGTTGACAGTACACAGAGAACTCATCCCCATAAATACAGACTGCATTTTATATTTATATAAATACAATAAATGTTGTATTTATATATTTATTTATATATGTTTATAAAGCAGATGGGCTACACCTAAACAGGTTTCAAGTATTTCTAGTTATATCCACTTGTACTGTGGGCATTTTTAATTATGAGCTACTAACCCCAGAGCATTACTAATTTGTGATATTACTCCACATTTCCTTTTTCCTTAAATAACTTAGATTATGTACAGCCAGTGGGGTTATCACCAAGTTTAAGATGATCACTCCCTAACATTGCAAATTTTGACAAAATGAAGAACCTCTTCCAGTCCTAAAAGGTTCAGGGTAATTTTTAAATGACTCTAAACACAGGAAATTCGTGCTGTGTTTTTTGTATAAAACAAAAACACATCATACTTGAATTTCCTAGAACTCTGAGACAGATGCTTGAATAAAGGTCTCAAACCTTCAGAAAACCACGTACCTTTGAAAACAACAAATGTGCCCCAAACGAAAAGTATTCCTAAGGATTCAGAGCACAGGAAAATTGAAACTAGAGTAGGAACTGTTACATCCAACAAACTCACCACGTTTTGGCTGCTGTTCCCCACAGCTCTGGGGCCTGTTCACGTTCACATTCTGCAGAGCAGTGACCAAATCAGCTTTGCAGAATGCCTTGACCTCACTCACAATGGCTTTATTACACAAATTTTTATCATCCCTAGGAGAAGAGAGAATGAACTGCTGACATAAAAGTAATAAAAGCAACACACACGGAGAGAAAGTGCATCTGGAAAACTTGCTTTGTGAACTTCATTATGTCTGACTTTTTTTTCCTCAAGCAATTAGAAGTAGATCAGAAAATTAAACTAGAAAATTAAGTAAAGCATCTTTTCTGAAAAGAAATTAGAAACATACTGAGAAGTGTTTCAGGCTCTAGGTTTGCTTTAAGAAAACAACAGCTATAAATACTGCAGCAATGATGCCTGGTTTCTATGATCTTAACGCAAACAAGGCAATAAGATAGCAATCTTATTTGATTGCTACAGTTAATTCTCATTTTTGAGACCCTTTTTTACTGTTCTACTGTCCAAATCACTATCCCAGATGCTGCCCTGAGGTTCTGCTCCAGCAGAACTACTCCAAAGACGCAGGACAAAGTTGGATTTAGCGCTTTCTCAAAAATTCCCATTGCTTATATGGCTCGAGAAGATAAAGGGATTTTTGGATGAAAAGCACTTCTGAAGTCACTTCTTGTTCTTTACTCAAAGGAACCTAAAATGACCACCAATACTGTGACTGAAATGGTATTTTCAGCAGCCACTCCTGTCGACCTAAACAAACTAACTGGTGCCCAGTGTCTGAACCCCACGGACTGGAACCAGGCAGGAACTGGTTCCAGCAGAGACCAGAGCAAGTTGTTACAGTACAGCCAAGGAACACTAGCCCTTGAAAAACAGCTTCACCTGCTCCTATCAAATGAAAATCAACACTCAGAAGTCAGCTGTTATCTTCACAAAACAGGAACAGCAGCAGCAAATCCATGTCCAGCTTCCCCCTCAGATTAACCCTGTGTTTGCTGGGAACGGTGATAAAGTATCTCAATCATTAATACAAATATTTTTTTCTATTTTGTAACTTCAGTAATATATATGAGAAACCAGGCTAAAATCTGAGAAAGCTATACTTTTAACAAGTTTTAAAATTGAATATTGAGTAAACTTAATTCTGCTTCAGGCCTGACATGAAGGTGGTTACACCTGCAGTCTCCACAGTTTATGATATCCCTCTATTCTAAGCTTTTCAGGGGGTGATTGCCCTTCAAAGAGCTCTACTGCACAACAGCTCTTCATTTCGCAAACAGTGCCTGTGGCACGAGACCCAAAGCCACGCAGGGACTCACGTGCAGAGAATGACAACAGCCTGAGGGAAGAGGCTCTGGTACTGGAGGCAGCACTGCAGGACACGGTCGTCGTTGTTCTCATCACTCAGCCCGTCTGCAAAAAGGCAGGGCAAGAAATATTTCAGTGCAGCCAGGGTATTGCTTGTACATTTAATTACCCCCCAGACAAGGAGAGAGAAGTGTAAAGTGAAACTGAGAACCCCCTGAGCAAACCACACTGAACACGGCACTGACACTAATCAGGGATTTGCACAGCACAGCCTTGGTTCTGCTCTGAAGGCTGCTGGCACCTATTAGCTAATTGTAATTAGCAAACTGCACAGTGAAGACTCTATTAAAGGTTCCTGCTAGGTGAACTCCAAGGATGAGGTACCCCACACCAAGTGACTGCACATATATTACATATTTTTTGAGAAGCCAGCTGCATGGACTGTCCCCACAGCCTGGAGTCCTGGTTTTTGAGACACTTGTAGATGAACTGGACTGCAGGGATAGCTTTGTCCCGGACATGCTGCAACATCTTCCCCTTCTTCAAGTTGTCCAGCTCTTGTAGGACGACCCAGGGAATTATTAAAGCAAGTCTGTCAACACCTGGAAGGAAAAAAAAACAAACCACAACCAATAAATGATATTTTGAAGAGCCACACAAACTACTACAGAGAACTTTTAATTCAAACATCATATTTTTGCAAGTTCACACTGCTCTTTCTGCCACCAGTTATCACATTCCTTGCTCAAGAGAATCTGGCATTTAAAAAAGAACTGAAATGGCCAAGGTCCCTCTTTCCAACCCAACCTCAAACTGGCACTGCACTGATTACATGGAAAAATGACAATATTAGGCAAGCAAAAGGAAGACACAATTTTAATCAACAGAACACTCTGACAACAGTGTGTAGCAATATTATAAAATACATCTGCAGCAATTACCTTGTCACACACTTGCTGTAAGATGTTATAGCAAGGTGACACAGCAGCTGAAATAACAGGCTGCAAACACCTGGATGACCACAACAGTCACTGTGCCAAAACAAGCATCCCAACAAGGAGCCATGGCTTGTTCCAGTTGCCAACCAGCATTCCTAAGCCAGGAATCAGAGTATGGATATTGCACCAAGGGTTTATTTGTGTGTAAGTATGGCCTGAACTTGGTCCACTCACAACAAACACTTCAACTGTTTTTCTGTCTCATTCACATTATGAGATGCAATTTTGAGAAAATACATTAATAACCATCTGCTTTGTAATAAATGGTCAGGAATCTGTGGCCTTCTCCATGTGCAGGACCAGAAACTGGGAGCTGCAATGTTCTAAAAAGGCAACCCAGTGTAGGCAAGGCAACACCATTCCCAAAATGGGAAGAGAAATACGGTCTGACACTCTCCTGAAAATTACTCAGGAGTAAAGTTATGATTAAAGCCACTTTCCAAGTGGCTGGAATGAGTGTATTCATGAGCTGAATCGAAGCACCCTAAACATTCTGCTGGATTCCAAATATGCTTCCAAGAACTGACATGCCCAACCCTAAACCTGCTAACATTAAATCACCGAAGCCTTCCCAACGTATTAGAGCCAAATGTTAAACCCAGAACCCGCTTCCTGAATTCCTGAAAACTGCTCAGTTCTGTGACCTTTACCAAACAGAAACACAGCACTGACTCACGGCTTACCAGACTTCAAATGTTCTTAGATTTCTAGGACAAGAAATTCTAAAAGGAGTAGAAAACACAATTATCACTAGTTATGGCTGAAATGCTTGCATTATGTTCTTAGAAAGGGTAAGACTTATTTAGCTCCAAGAATTCAAGCATGTTCCTGGGAATGTCTGCCATGATTCCCGGTAGGGAGGTAGGGATAAGCACAGTACTTCCACAGCTGGACTTCCCATGAGAGGCAGCTTGTTTGGGCTCACAGAACCAGCCTTCTGCCTCTGCAGGAAATCTGCTGCTCTTTGAAGGAGCCCAGCTTTGGTTTTCTCCAGACAGCTCCAAGTTCTTACAACATCTGTTTTTTCTTACAATGGATTCACATACCTGGTATATCCTCAGACTTCAGGGATCTGACAAACTCAAGGTGACTAATCATGATGTTTGTGTCAATCACCACCAGAATGTTCAGACCAGAAGTAAAAGCCTCTGGGGGAAAAGAAGAGAAAAAAGAGAAAACAAAGCAGCAGTGAAATAATCAGTTGTGTACTCCCTATTCAGACCATCAGCCAACTGTAATTACCAGTTGCAAGCAGAGAGCACCACGACATACCAGCAGAAACGTTTAAATCCTGTTCTGGAAGATCAATGTCCATGCTTGTGAGCTCTCCACAAGCCTGGACTACAGACAGTGCCATCCTCTTCTCCACACGGGCAACGTGCAAGTCTTCAGCTATCTGCATCTACAGGGAAAACATGGCATGGATGCAATCCACTGGAAGGAATCACTTCATAACTGTCCCCCCCAAAGATCCTTTTGCGTTAATGCTGTTAAAACTGGCTCAAAATGATGTATGAAAAACAGTAACTTGGTACAGGAAATGTAAAGCCATGAGAACTTCTGCTCCACTGGAGGCATCGAAAATATGGCCTGGAAAGAAGATTTAGGACCTTTCTAGCTGGTACCCAAAAACTTTGTTCCATTTTTTGCTACATAAACTGCGAGTTTCCTCACAGGCACTTGTTAAAAACGAAGTCTTTCTCCCAGCTAAGAAGTTAGAGGATGGAAAATGAGACAGCTGGATAACGTGAGCAACTATGAGGGCCCCTTGCAGATAACAACAGAAAGACAACCTTTATCTCAGAAAGTTCCTGATTAGCAAACTTTAGCAAGTTTGTTTAGCATTTAAAATAAATGCTCCACATTTTTGAAGGGCAGATCATAAGCCAACAATGCCAAATACTAGGAAAGGTCATGGAATTGTCCAGCTACACAACCCCAGTGCCTTTGCTTTTTAATACAACTCAGAAGTGTTAAATTAAAGCATTACCAACCTCTTGGTCTGCTTCTGGGTTCTGACTGTCTTGAAGGGCTGGAAAGTCTTCAGAGTTCTGCAGGAAGGATTAAAAAAACCCTCCCAACACCACAAAACATCAAAGAAGACTGAGGAGCAAGTGATCCCCATGTCAGGAGTTCCAGGATAGAGCTGTACAGTGTTAAACAAGTCCATCACTCACCTGTTGGACAGGCACAGGCTTCCTGACCTCACCTTCCTGGTAGGACTCAGATGTGCTCAGGCTCTCCAAATTCTAGAAACAAGTGAGAATAAAAGTACAACATGTATCAGACTTTTACAGTTGTTTTTAAATAACACTGAATAGTCCCAAGTGAACTGAATAGGGAACACCAATTCTATGTTTTTTAGCATCTACAGTATCATTTCAGCAGAGCTTAGAAGGATGGCTCTCATTTAAATAAATAACAGTGGATCACAAAGCAAATTCCACCTGAACATTAACCCCCCCACTTTTTGGGGGTTGAAGGTGCTGGAACAGGCTGCCCAGAGAGGTTGTGGAGTCTCCATCCTTTGTCCTGGGCAACCTGCTCTGGCTGATCCTGCTCGAGCACAGGGGCTGGACCAGAGGATCTCCAGAGGGGCCCTCCAACTTCAGTGATTCCATGATTTTGCAAGGAATTACTATATCTGCATACACACAAAAGGCTCACACTACCATACCATGCACTGAAATCCTCAAAACTTCTGGGCATGTTACACAACAACAACAACAAAGAGAACCACCCCATGCTCAAGATCTAGCTTGTGTTTGGCTCTGCACCTCAGCTTGAACTCAGAAATGAACCCCTCACAGCCAAATGGGAAGTTCTGCAGGAAAAGTACCAATTTAACCCCAGATCCACAGCAAGCTCTCCTGGCATCACTCTGCCAGCAAGTCTGGCAGCAAGTTTTCATTGCTTTGAGTCCATTCATTTAAAAAATGATACAACCATGTCAACTCAGAAACAAACTCCTGTTGATTTATACCTAAATGGAAGTATTCCACACCCTCAGCAGCAGAGCAAAGCTGTGAAAGCATCTGCAGACACAGCCCAAACATGCAAGACCTTTACTCTTCTGCTCTGTTTAACCATTTAGCAAGGAACACGTTATCAAGGTTTACACTGGGATGACAAAAACCCCCCTGGTGAAGCCATGAAACCTGGCTGAATTCTGGAAGGAGACAGTCTGAGTATGGAAAACTCTGCCACTTGGAAGCCAGCCCGAAATATCTACCTGCAGAATACAAAGAACTGGGTTCTCATTACCTGCTTAAAACATACTTCTGTGGCTTCAAAGTCCCTTTCTTCAGTCCCTGAAGGTCCAGAAGGTTCAGGAGAACCAGCATCGTGCTTTCTGCGCTTACGGGAGTCCCATCGTGGCGGTGTCTCGGCTGAAGGGCCTGTTGCTCTGTGTTTACTCACGTGCCTCTTTTTCACAGGAAACTCCTTATATTCTTCTTCCTCCTCCTCTTCCCAAAGGCCAGATAGTACATCCGACTCCTTAGTGACAGGTCTCACAGAGGTGCCGGGTGGCTTCTTTGGAATTCTGCCACCTTCACTGCACTTCTTCAAGCCGTCCGCCCTTTTCCGTGGCACATCGGACACAGATGACTTAAACTTCTCTATCATGGCTTGTTCTGCTTTTAACTTGAGCTTGCAGAGTTCAGCTTTCTCTCTCTTTTTCTTCAGGGCCTTCTCCCTCTGAAGTTCAAAGGTGTACCAGAGCCTTTTCTCTGTTCCCTCCAAGCGACTTCGTTCCTTGCTCGCGGTCACGGCGTCAGGAGTGCGGGTGCTTTTTCCGTGTTTAATTTCTTTGGGTTTAAATTGGATAATGACTTTCTTTTGCTTTTCAGGTCTAACTGAAGAATTGTCTGGGGTTTTGCTTCTATTTGGAGATCTTCCTTGGGATCTTTCATCAGCATCATGAGAAACACTAGAACCTCGGTGTCGCTTCTTCTCTTGCCCATCTTTCTCTGGTTTGGATCTACAGAAACATCACGAAAAAAAGCAATGTAATTTAGCCCAGTTAACACAAAACAGCAACAAAAAAGGCACCTACATTTGATTTAGGCAGTTAGAGCTAAGTATTTATGAGCATCAGTTTGGTCTGCTCTTAAATATGAACTTACAGCACCATTTGTCCTTTAAAATAGTTTAATACAGCGTTTTTTTTGGATTTACATTTCTCCACTGTACAGTTACTTCAGCTTCAAAAAAAAATGGAGAAAAAGCCTTTTCTGCATTCGGTATCTGTCAGTTTGAGAGACACCCTACAAAGCTGAGTTTCTTCTTATCACACAGATAAGTTTTAACAGCAGTTTAATGATAAAGGAGGTGTGTCACCCTGAAAGGTTAGCTTGGTCACCCAGTGTCAAAACCCACACAGCTTTCAAACTGTTTGTCCTGCACTGACTGGAGAACTTGGAAAAGGAACAACTGATGGGAATATAGTAACATTCTACAGAAAGCATGAGTGATAGAAGAAAGTTTCCTAGTCGGTTTTCCTAAGAGTAAAGAAAATACTCAGTAATTATTATTTACTTTACACTAGCTTTAAAATGCCCAAAGAAACACTAGTTAAAATACTGTGTTTTATTTGATGAAAAGGTTGAAAAAGTTCTTCAATTCAGCATTGAAAAAGTCTGTGATTGTTACATTTTTAAGTAGTTCCATTTAATGGCAGGGCAAGAATTTACCTCTGGAGTTCTGTCTCTCCTTTCACAGTGTGCTTATAAGATCTTGTGTCCTCAGAGGTCTGAAAGAAAAAAAAATCGTGGGCTTATAGAGGGAACTGCAGTTAAAATAAAACACACTTTCATAAGATGGTGCCACGACTGAGTGGTTTGGCTACTTAAGGAAACTCTGTCAAACGGTGCAAAGGATGTGGATGCAATTAAGGGTGCAAAAGGGTTTAGCAGCATTTAATTATTGAGTACTTTAACATTTACCAAGTGATTCAACAGGGTTCAGTACAACAATGACTTAATTATAGATCTGAGACAGCAACATCCATCCTGTGATCAATTCCCGGGTCAGAAGATGTGTCCCACACCTACTGCCATGTGTGTGAAGGTACTGTCCAAAATTCCACAATTCAGTGACATTCATCAAATCCTTTTGTTTCCCAACTGCCAAGGGATGCACCTCGAGGAGTGTGGAGATGTGTGGGGGTATCAGCCCACACCTCCTCATCAGCGAGGGTCCCTGAGGATTCAGGAATTCCAACAGACATCCTGCTCTGAGGACCACTGTTTGTAGGGTCACAAGGCCACTGACTTTGGTCATCACCAATTTCCCATCCTGGCCATATCCCAAGTCCGTAAGTCCTGGGCTCTTTCCCAAAGCACAGTAACAATGGGACTGTTCCACTCGGGCTGCAATCCCCAGCGGTGCCGTTCCGCCCGGACGGCGATCCAGGTCAATGGTTTACCGAGGCTCCCAAGGATAACGGCTCATCCTTTGTTCCCCACCTTGGCTGGGATGTTCCTGGTTGTTCCCACCTGCACCACCCAGCAGCTCCTGGCAGGATCAGGGAGCACCTCCCGGCCCAGCTGGTGCAGTCAGGGGACACTTCACCGCTCAGCGGGTCCGTCAAGGCTTATCAGGAGCTTCCAAGGTGCTTCCAGCAGGGCCAGGGATGGGGGGATGCACCACCACAGAGGAACAGCATGAAAATGTGGTCACACAGGCCTGGTTAAGGGTACAGACAGTCCTCAAACAAAGAACTTGGACAGTCCTTGTCTAGGAAGCAGCAGCATCACTGCTTGCTGTGTCCATGTTGCATCCACGTCGCGGAATAACGGGAGGGCAGCTCTGAGCAGGGCAGAGCAGCAGCTCTGGGAGAGAGGGGAGAGCAGCAGAAGGACAGACTCTGGATAACTCTGCCCCACATGGCAGTTAGTTTTATATACCTGTGTGTTATATGACTCAGTTTTCCCCAAACTACAGCAGAGTGTAGGAAGTTACAACAGGGAACGGTAACATATGGATTACTTGGGATAAGGAAGCTCCAGACAGTTCATCCTTTTACAAATAATTCACTCCTTCAACACTTGTGGTGTGCTGACTCAGTGAGGCCATTAGGTCACTGCTGCAGAGACTTTTCCTACCTAGACAGGCCTTAGCTGGTTTACTTCCACACTGGAAAGCACTCCACTCAAAAATCAAAGGCTTGCAGAAAGCAGTGGAGTCCTAAATTAAGGCAATTTTGAGAACTTCTGCCTTGGTTGGTTGGTTCTGGAGCTGTAGGATCAGTGTCAGCAATGCAACAGAAAAAAGAGAATGACAGACGATTCCAAAGCCCCCTCAGGTCATGTCCATATCCCCAGGGTGTGTCCCCCACTGGCTGGAAGGCAGGGAAGGGTCTCCCTTGGGGCAGGTGGAGCTCACGATGCTGGTGGGACAACTCCTGGTGACATCCAACCCACTTTGCCAGCAGCTCAGGTACTAATTTCTCTCTTCAAGGACTAGTCCCCAACCATCACCAGCTTTCATGGTATTTTTAATATTTCTTTTCAACCCATCTCTTCCTTTTCTTAAAAGTCTCTTGTTAACTCTCTGATTTTCACTTAATTTGGTCATCACAAGCAAGTTTTCTTACTGTTCCTTCCCTCAGTTTGGGGTGTAAGACGCCTCTAATCCATCCTGTGATCACACTGGAGAACTCTTGCACTATTAGAGGTTTACTCATCCTTTTGCTACTAAATAGTTTGGCTTCTCACTGTTGCTTTTGTTGGTCAATATCTGCATAAAGCAATATTTAATGCTGCCTCAAATTGAAATCAGGCAACACTTTGTATTCTTCAAATTAGTAGAGGCATCAGCAAGGGCAATAAGCTACAGCAGGAGGTTTAAAGCCAAGTGCTTACCCTTTGTATTACAGAAGTAAAAAAAAAACCCAACAAAACACCTAAGTTAATGTTAAAACACAAATTGAATAATACTAAGGAATTCAGGAGAAAAAAAACCCAGCTACAAATATTTGGCTTTGAACAACATTTTCTATAAGATTAAAAGGTTTCTAATATGAATAACTGAGTTTATAAGGTCATAATACCACGCTCATTTATTAACACTGCCAAAAAAATTTTGATAAGACAGTTAAAAGCTCTCTTATTTCAAATACTCCTTGCAAAATTCAAGGGGAAAAAAGAAGGTTGCAAGAAATGACCAGAAAGATGATCACCCCTGTAGCATCTGCATTTTACAAGTGATTCAGTGAAAGCTCACTCACTAGATACAAGTAGATACCAGGATATGCTGAGAGTTTTGGTCATTAATTTATGTCTCAGTGCTTAGAAGGAAATATTTGAGAGTCGCTCATGAAAATGCTGCAAAAAGTACAACTTGCGGTTCATCAGAAAATAAAAGCGTATGATCCAAGATACAGAACAACCCCAGAAAACAACAGTGCTTTCGGTAACAGTTCTAAGCTCAACTTTCCTCAGCCAGGAAGATACACAAAAATAAAAAAGGTTCTTGTTTTCTGACAACTACACTACTCACAGCCCTGGAGAAAAACCTAAGTTATATACATAAACACAAACATAAGTTATCTGACCAACTCGACCCTCCTGCTGCTCTTTATGACCTCCTGTTTAAATTGGATTCATCCTTCTATCACAAAGCTACTAAACAATTCATGCTTTTCTTTTGAACACAGGGGATTTAATTAAGATAATAACAGTAATAATTTTTTGGTTCCTACTTTGTCATCCCGGCCATCCAAAGAGTCTTCCTTTTCAGTTAATTTCTTCAGTTTCTTTTTAGACATCTTCAAATCCTAAGAAAAGAGAGCGCTGCCATTATTATTTGTGTCAGAGAAAAAAAAATATTCAAATACTTCTCTTTTGTTTTCTCATTACAGAGCCACAGCAGATCTCGACAGGGTTGATTATTCACATCTAAGGGAACTTCAGAGCAGAAAGGTGCTCCAGAAACATCGATTTTGTACCAGCAAACAGAGACAAACATCCTTTAACCTTCAGTCGCATGACCAAGTTTTAAGCCCCTCAGACACGGGCAGGGGCTGCGCAGGGAGCTGGCGGAGTCGCCGTGCCCGGGGTGCTCCGGGAAAGCCCGGCCGTGGCACTCGGGGCTCCGGGCTCCTCCTGACAAGGTGGGCATCGGGCACAGGGTGGACTCGATGGCCTCAGGGGTCTCTTCCAACGCAACCGATTCTGCGAGGCAGTTCCAACCGTGCAACTCTCGCAACTCTCGCCTTCGCTCCATCCCCCGGGCCGGAGGTACTGCCGTGACACCTCACGACAGCCACGCCACCCTCGACACAAACGAGCGCACTCGAACCAGGCGTTCCCGAGGGCTGTAAAAGGCTTCAGCAGGAGGCGATTCCCAGAGCCCAGAGCCGGGCAGGGAGCCCCGGGAGCGGCCCCGCCCTGAGGGGGGACAGGCACAGGGCTCTGAGGGGGGACAGGCACAGGGCTCTGAGGGGGGACAGGCACAGGGCTCTGAGGGGGGACAGGCACAGGGCTCTGAGGGGGGACAGGCACAGGGCTCTGAGGGAGCCGGTCCAGGGGGGCTCAGGGACGACAGATCCCGCCTCGCCCCCCGCGTGGGGCTGAGCCCGGGGGCCCTCACGGCACCTCGGGCACTGACAGCACACCCTCCCTTCCTAATTCCTTCCTATTTCCCTTTCCTTCCTCGCCCCTCCCCACAGGGCACCCGTACGGCGCCGCCTCACCCGGCTCGGACGCTCCTCCCGCGGCGGCTCCGTGTGGCCGGCGGGGCGGAGGCGGTGGCTGTGGCTGTGCCGGGCGAGGGTCCGTCCCTGCCCCAACCGCCCCCGTCCTGCCGGGCGCGGGTCCCCCCGAGCTCCGCCGCGGCTCCTCCTCCCGCCGCGGTGCGCGCCGGGCCGGGCCCGGAGCGCGGTGGGAAGTGTAGGCGGGGCGGGGCCGGACGTGCCGCTCCGCCCCGGGCCGAGCGCGCCGCGGGCTTCGCGCACCGAACATGGCAGCGGCTGAGGCGGCCGAGGCCGCGCTGCAGCGGCGGCAGGAGGACGAGGAGGAGGAGAAGGAGGAGAACGAGAACCATAACCATAACCATAACCACGGAGGCGGCGGCGACACGGCGGCGCTCAGTGAGGGCCGGGCGGGGGCTGAGGGCGGGCGGGGGGAGCCGGGCCCGCCGGGCGGGGACTGAGGGCGGGCGGGCGCCATGCGGAGCCCTGGGCGCGTTTGAATTTCCACCCCGGGCGCGTTTGAATTTCCACCCCGGGGCCGCCTCCCGGCTCCCTCCGCCCTCGCCGTGGAGCTCTGGGAGCTGGAGGCTCCCGGCTTCCCCGACCTGCTCCCGCCGGGCCTCGGGCCGCTCTGAGCCCGCGACCCCGCGCTCGTGGCTCCCCTTCCCCCCTGAACCCAGCGGTGCCTTGTCCCCGGTGGTCAGTTGTTGTTCCCGGGGGGCCCGTGGGCAGCCCGGGATGCGGGGGGCTCAGCCCGGGGTGCGGGGGGCTCAGCCCGGGGTGCGGGGGGCTCAGCCCCGGGTGCGGGGGGCTCAGCGGGGGGGGGTTCAGCCCCGGGTGCGGGGGGTCAGCCGGGTTTGCGGGGGGGGCTCAGCCGGGAATGAGTGGGCCTCAGGGCCCGGGGTGCGGGGGGCCTCAGCCGGGGTGCGGGGGGCCTCAGCCGGGGTTTGCGGGTGGGCTCAGCCCGGACCACCCCCAGGGCGCGCGGGGCTCAGCCGGGGTGCGGGGGCAAGCCGGGTGCGGGGGGCTCAGCCTGGGGTGCTGGGGGCCCGCCGGGGTGCGGGGGGCTCAGCCCGGGGTGCGGGGGGCTCAGCCCCGCGCCTTTTCCCCGCGGGATTGCGAGCCCAGACTTGTCTGTGCCATGTGCTCTGAGCCGACCCTGCCGGAGCAGGGGCTGGGAACGCTGCGGTCCCTCCCAGCCCGGCCCGTTCTGGGGGGCCGTGAACTGGTTGTGCCGGGTTTCAAGTCCCTTCCTGCTGCAGCCTTACGGTTCGAGTGAACCGACTCCTCTAATTAATTTTTTTCCCGTTTAAGTATAATTTAGGCTCTCTGAAGCGTTATTCTGATTTGTGCGTAATCAGTGATTCCTGATAAGCATTTAAGAAAAAATCCTGCAGTCTTTCTTCGGTAGCAGCCTGCTTTTCTTCAGCGTTCGGTGTGAAAGTTTACTTCTCTCTCTGTGCATTTACATACTAATTACATTTATATATATACACGAACTCTCCTTTTCAACCATTTTAACCTCTACACGTGCTCTGAAGATGCAGGTGGTCCATTTCCGGTGGATTTTTGTCACTGCTGTGCTCTCATTCTACATTTTTGTAACTCTTTCCAGTTTTCTCAGAGCACACATAATCATAATTGATAACTGTTACGGATTTCTTACCAAAAATCCTCTTACTTATTCATCTTCTTTCTGTCTGTTAATAAATTGCGTAGAAACTGTCACCAGGAATCCTACAACTTTTAATAGAGCACTGGGCAGGTAATACAAGTCTGTCTTAGGTGAGTTGTCAGCTTAGAAACAGGTCTGTGAGGAGCACAGCAATGCTCTCTGGGTAGCAGTGCAGTCATGATAATATTTTAAGGTAGGTAGAATAATTTTCCTCGTTGCTTCTGTCTTTTGAAACAATTTCTCTAGTCCTTGCCTTGAGGTATCCTATTTCCTCTTTCTGCTTTGTTTTTGCAATAACAAATATTTGTACCCAACTGCAATGTTTAAAAGAAAACAAACAAAAGTCCCCCAGGGGAATTCGAAGAACTGCTGTGAGATCCTTCCAGCCAGGAGTGGGTGGCTGGGGAAGACTACTAAAATCATGGAATTCTGGGATGGTTTGGGTTGGAAGGGACCTTAAGGATCACCCAGTCCCACCCCCTGCCATGGGCAGGGACACCTTCCAGTATCCCAGGTTGCTCCAAGCCCCATCCAGAGCACAACCAATACAGTCACGGATCCTCCGGGAATAACCTCAAACACAAACCAGTTTGTAGCTCCGCGTGGTGCATCCCAGCTTTTGTGCTGGGAGAGGCAGCCACTGGTTGACTCGTGTGCTCTCTCTGCATGCCGAGGTCTTGTAGACATCTGTCCCACCCCGGCTGAGGAGCCTTAGGCTGCCCTGTTGCTCCTCAGTGGCTGCACGGCCACGCCGTGGCCTTGTTTCTTGTTGGAAACTCTCCTAGTCCCGCGCGCCCCTTGGAAGCTTGTGGGGTCGTTCGATAGGAGTGGCTTTCTGAATCCTTTCCTGGTGCCCCTGGGTGGGGAGGGGACCCACAGCTTCTGAGGACTTCTGCCTCTTCCTTCAGTTATTTCCCCGAGTTTGACTTGGCTGTTTTTTGCCATTTTATTGTCCCATCACTCAGCCCCTTGATATTCCTCCTCAGGCCCACCTCGCATTGCCCCAGGAGGTCATTCATTTGCAAATGCTGATGGCACCAGCACTTAACCCCCAGAATAGCAAATTCCTTCCTTATTCCCTGATTGTTCGAATTACAAACAATTCTAAACTACTGTTACCAGACTTTCTCAGCCCTGGTATGTTGTTAGGAGAACTTGGACCTCCTCCTTGCCTGCTTTCCTTTGCTATCTTCCAGAAAAAATGTAAATATTATTTTGTTCACCTTAAACATCTGGTAATACAGGTGGTGAGTTGAATAGCTTCAGCTGTCCAGGATGGCATTATTCCACGGTGGTTTCCAAGGATAATTGCAGTTAGAGTGCTTGACTCTCACCTCTGCGACCCGGGTTCGATTCCCGGCCCCCTGGGCAGGTGGAGCTCGTCAGCCTTGGTAGGCAATCCACCTAAGAGAAGGTCACTCTAAACAAACCTACATCCTGGGGACCTCACTGCCACTGTCCAAGCTTTGCTCGGCCCCGGCAGATGAACCTCAGGACTAAAGGGTGGGCTCAGTTCAGCGCACGCTGTGTCTCACCTAAAAATCCACTGCGCAGGCTGGAAGGGTTAATGACCTTTCCCAAAAATCTTCGCTCGCGAAGACTGGCCATTATATATTATATATTATTCCCCAACATACTGTTTGGTTATGTTTTTTCCTCCTTCACACTTTTAGTCAGCATTGGATTGTTGGAAACAGATGAACACGTTTGTATAGTTCAGTTACCTCAACGACACTTCCACTGGGCTTTTTTGTTTGATTTTAAGATGGTGTGGTTGTCTCTGACAAAGTGAAAAGCAACAACCTGGATGTGAAAATTCCCAAGTCAGAATTGGAAACCGAAGAAAAAGGAACGGAGGAAGAACCTACAAGGGAATCAGATGGCAACATTTTGGATGTATCGTCTGATTTTCCACGAGGTTTGCTCTTAAACTCTAATATTTGTGTTGTGTGCTTGAGGTAGAGAAACAGGGGGAGAAAGGTGGTGTGTGAAATCTCATTTTACAGCTTTAAAACTCACCGGTATATCCCGAGCACACGGATCAATTACTTTGTCTCTCGTAAGAAAACCTGAAGATTGATCTTGGGAAAGACACTGTGAAGGTTAAAGTCACTATAAAATCAGTGTCAGTCTAAAGTGGGATGTTCTGTGTGCTGGAACCAATAAAGCAGATTTATTGGATAAGCTAATTCTCTTCTTTTTAACAAATTCTCCACTGTTCCCCTTGAGTGGTAAGTTGGAAAATCAGGTGGTAGATTTAGAGGAAAGGGAAAGGGGGAAAAGTGGTAGAATTTAATGTATTCTGGCTCTACAGTGAATAATTTTTCTTAAAATTGGTCCACTTTTGGTTGATATTTTAATTTTGCCAGACAGTTCATAGGATGTTTCTATACTGCTTTGGGCATGATTTGCATTAAAACCAGCAGTAAATGGAACGTGACTTGATCTTTTTAGCTTGTTTTTTCACATTTCCAATTTTAAAAGTTTGATGTGTGTTAGTATTAAAAAGAAGTAGGAATATGTGAAAATATACAGATCTTATTAAAGAGCCTTTCTGGGGATTAATTTTGGCAGTCATTCCTGCTGCCATGGAGGTTGAAGGATACAAATAAGGATTCCAGTTGGTACTACAGTCATTTTCTAACAGTGTTAGGGTTGAAATGATGCATAGAAAAATAGCAGTAAACTAAAAATAATTTTTAAACTGAGAGTGTTTAACTTCTGAATATTTCTGCTTTGTTAGACAAACATATTTCAATTCAAAGACACTTGGCTGATCTGGAGAAACTGGCTGACCTGAGAGAAGGTGAGTTCACCAAGGCAGTGCCCCAGAACACACATCTCTGTGTTAAGGGTATTTCTGTTTTCCCTTAGTCTTTATTTTTAACACACTACATGTTTTATAATGCTTGAAGACCAGGGCTTTTGTAAAAATAGAACTTTATGATTTATTCCCTTGCTCTTCTGCTAAATTCTGCCTGCAGGATTTCCAAGGCAAAATGATTTCATATAGAGCACATTGTCTTTTTTTGCACCTTACAAAGATGTCAGATGCTTGCTTTCTCCAAAAGATTCAGGAGTTGGAAAGACAGAGTCTTGTACTAACCTCTTAACTTGTTTGGGGTTTTTTAAAACATTGCAAGTCTCTGCATGTCATCTGTAAAATTCTGTTGTTCCTCAGGGCTCTTCAGCATTAAAGCTCATGTAGCTGGAGTAAAAAATACTAGAAAACAAAAGCTAAAGGTTGTAGAAGCTAATTATTTTCAAGTTGGTAGTGGTTCTTGCCTGTATTCAGCGGAGTACAAAGACTAAATCCATGAATTTGAAGTTTCTGTGGGCCTGCAGTAGAATGTTCCCTGGGGAATTCATCTTTAACTCTCGTGGATATTACCCTCGTGCTTTTTTTCTCCTGGCCTGCATGTTGGTTAACATGAACGATACCTAAATTTTTTGTTTCTCGTGTTTTTTCGTTGTATTTTCAGACAAAAAGAAGCCTTGCCCATTGTGTCCTGAGGAGAAATTCAAAGCTTGCTATAGTCATAAACTCCATCGTCACCTTCAGAACTTGCACTGGAAAGTTTCTGTTGAGTTCAAAGGTAATGGCAGTCAGATTTGAACAGCAAATACCTGAACAAATTGTGGGCATGGTCTGTGTTTCATCTTCTTAAATTCCCCTTCCTTAAGCGTTTTGCTCCCAGCTCTGAATCAGAATGACACAATGAATTTTGAGCTGGGATGTAAAATGTAAAGGTGAAATAGCTCTCTATTCTTCTGCATGCCAAAATAGTTCTACATTTTCTCTTCGAAAAAACAGTAGCTTGGCATGTCATAGAAGTTACTATAAGAAAATTACTTTAATAAAAGTTTTATTTATGTTGAAATTATCAGACACACGCATGTGGTCATTTTTGGCTCGTCATAAAGAGTCCATGGTTTCAGATAAACAATCTTAAGTATTTATTTAGTAGTATTTAGCATATTATTTAGTATTTTGTAGCCTTAATTGCTTTTTAACAAACTCTGTGACCTGCTTGTAAGGTGCATTAAAATGCCTGCAAGAAGTTTAGGAAAGACAAAAAGGGAGCAGTAGGTGTTTGTTAAAGAACCAAGTATATGGGCTTGTGGGAAATAAAATGATAAGATTAAACTGAAAGTTACCTGACTGGAGTGTTGGGTGTCTTGTCTTATTTTTCTTCGACTGTAGGGCATATATTTTATAGGAGTCCTCACAGAAGTCCTTTAGGCAGTACAAATATTTTTGTAAAAGACTCACAAGTACTTTTGAACTGGAGACCTGACATAGCTTTGTAGGATGCTCAGAGACTGATTAAAACAATTTGCTTTATGTAGATTTTTGTGCACATTAAAATTTAAAATGTGTAATTAGCAGATTAATTTCCCTGTGCAGAGGGTGAATGTACCAGATAATTGGTGATGTTCTCTGTGTGTTTGGGAGCCTTGACTGTGGTGCAGGACACAGCCACCCTGTTTATTTGCTGTGCTGTGTGTGGCTTTGTTTTCCAGGGTACAGGATGTGCATCTGTCACTTACCTTGTCGTCCAGTCAAACCAAACCTCGCTGGAGACCAGGTACAAACACTGAATCACAGAGAAATGCTTGTTACTGTACAGACTGGGGGAAATGGGTGATTTAGGGGAACTTTGGAGATCCAATGAGTTGCCAGGTCCATCTTGCTCTGCCATGTGTGGGCTGAGCTGTTGGTGCAGAGTGCAAGTATTGGACAGAACCCCCGGGTGGCTGGATGTAGTTACACCTCTCACTGTGGTGGGCAGCTGCCTAGAGCATCTCTGCCTGGAGATTCCAAATATTCTGAATGCTCTGGAGGTAACAGATGACTTTTGACCACGTTTCTGTTTTCTGGAACTACATAGAATATCATGTTTTACAGACCTTGTCAAAGATGGGAGCCCATTACCACTGTATCATCTGCTCGGCAACTATCACCCGAAGGACTGACATGATAGGTCACATTAACAGGCATGTGAACAAGGGAGAGACTGAGTCAAGGTTTATTACAGGTGGGTTCTGAGCTACAGCAAACATTCAGTCCTTGTATACCACATAGCACCTGCAATAACTGTGATACGGGGGTGAGAGACAGGAGAAAACCTCCAGAACAGATTCAGCTTTACTAATGAAAAATCTGCCCTCATATTTCAGAGCTTCTGTTTCCCTCAGAAATGTTGCAGTGTTGTGGTTTAGTCTCTGCACTGGCAGGTTACTCCGTTCTTACTGATCACTAATATTCCCTTCACACTTAGTTTAATGTTGTAAGTACCAGTTTCTGTGTCTCCAAAAGAATGAGGGACATGGCACCCGCAAAACAGTATAAAAATCCTTCACTTTTTATCCAAACTGCACCAGCCTGGCTTCCCAGACCAAGGTGATGTTTTTTTTAGTCCCAGAGAGTTGCAGTAGGGGTGCCAGTAGTGCTTTGGTAAATTACAATCCTGCCTGACGTTCTCCAGAATGGGGCTTTTGTTTTTTAAACTTGGATAAACTAGATGGAAAACATTTTAAAATCCTTGGAATGCTAGTAGTTTAATGCCTGGGCAGCAGTTTGCATGTCTGAGAAGCTACAGTGGTATCCATACCTTGAGCTTAAGCAGAGTTTGTGCTGTGCAATACATCAATCTCTGTGTGGTTCCCTTCAGAGCTGTAAGTAAAGAATGGCCCATTTGTCATTTTTTAACAAAAGGAGAACTTCAGAGCTCAGGTGTTTTGTGCTTTGTAGGTGCTTTGACAACTCCTGGGGCCTCTGAAGGTGGAGCAGATAAACCACCTGTGTGTTTGAAAGCCCTGAGAAGAGAGGCAGGCTGAGCTCTGGAATGTATCTAGTTGGTATAAATTTTTCCTGGTCATTCCTAGGTGAGTTTTAGGCTGGGGATAAATTGCTCAGAGGAATGACAACCACAGACTGTTTACACAGAGCTTAAGTGCTGGAATTGTCCCTGTGCTGTGTAGGCACGTTTCATGGAGCTGTTTGATAACTTAGAGAGATTAGATGCAGGATTCTGAGGGGTTTTTGCAGTTCATTGATACACATTCAGGACTATGTTAATAGGGTTTTAATTAATTAGCAATGTATTGTGTTTGAACATGTAAACCAGAGCTAAGCCTCAGGCTCAGGGGCTGGCTTTCTTTAATGTGAGTGGATACATAGGAGCCCAACTGAGGAACAAACCTGATCTTGCATGGGAAGAAAATGGTGGTAGAGTGTGATCCTTATCTGCCACTCTTGAGATTAGAAGACAAATTGTTGCCTGTTCCCTCCTTATCCTTGTCAGCTGCTCCGTGTGCTGGTTGGGTTACAGCATGACCAGAGCTTGTGGCTGTGTGGGAGCAGTGTGGCCATGGGATTTCTCAAGTGTGCTGATGTTCATTCCAGTTCTCACTGGTTCTTTCCTTCCCCCTCAATTCCTTTCCCCCAGTTCGTGCTCCCACAAACGAAGTGATCAAAGAGTCAGCCACGGATGTGCAGGTTCTTCCCAACCACTCCACACCCCAGAAAACAGATTCCTATTTTAATCCCAAAATGAAACTCAACAGGTAAGAGCACAGGGAGTGGGGAGGATGCACCGGGGGGGGGGGTTGAGTTTGTAGTGAAAAACACGTGGTTTAAAAAGCAAGCCCTGTGAAATTTTTGTTCAGAGGGCAGGAGAAAGGAGTTTTCCATCAGAAAACTCTTCCTGACAAATAATATTTAAACCCAAGAACACTACATGGGAAATACTGTAATTTCTGAAGCAATTAAGTATCTTTCTGTAATTAGTAGATTTAAGAATGTCCTGCTGTAGAATTACAACTTCTAAGTGGAGCTGAGGCTTTTGATTTGCAATTCTTTTACAACGTAAAAGATAGAGCTTAGCTTAAATGTTCCACTGTTGTGTTCAAGGGAGATAAATAAGGAAAAGGAGGGGAAAATACTTAATCTCCTTCCTGTGCCCATTGTTTTTTCTTTTGAAGGCAGTTGATCTTCTGTGCACTGGCCGTGCTGGCTGAGGAGCGTAAACCCATTGAGTGTTTGGATGCTTTTGGGGCCACTGGTAAAGTCATTTCTTTAAAACTTTGCTTAATACCCAACAGTAAGAAGCTGCAGAAATCAAAACTGACATCATGTAGTCAAAACTAATGAGAAACACAGTAATTTCTTCCTTGGGCAGGCAGTTATTAGCTTACATACAAAACCCCAGCCATCTAGAGCCTGGTATTCAGCCTTTTAAAGAGGCTTTGAATAATACTAAATCAAAGTTTAGTGGTCTCCTTCAAATCAGTCCCTGGAATGGCATCTTCCTAAGCTTGTGTCCAAGGTCACAGGTCTCTTGTAACTCCATGGATGTGGAATTTGGCTGTGAAATGAACCCGTGGTTTAAAAATGGGGTTGAACTCGGAGTTCTTTATCACAGTCATCTCTTAATTGATACCCAAAATTCTGACCACGAGTGTAGAGCAGTTCTATCAGTGTCTGTTGAGCAGTGTCTGAGGAGATGGTGGATTTCACAGTGCTCTGTACTGGAGTGTTAAGCCAAGGGGCTCTCCTGGAGAGTGTGGGTCCAGCTTTCTTAAATTCTGCAAAATCACAGGCCTTTGGGTCTGTAACCCTGATTATCATGTAAGAAAGTGATAGGTAAGACTGTCCTTTTCCATACCCCATTGTCACCCTGCTGAGGCAGAAGGTCACAGTTTTGCAGGAACGTGACAGAATTTGCATCACACACACAGTTCTGTATGATAAGAATTGAAAACCATGGATTTTTCTTGTCAAGTTCAGCAATGCAGAAAGCAATTCCTTCTTCTGTCCAATTCTGGTTTTCCTCAGGTATAATGGGACTGCAGTGGGCAAAGCACCTCAGGAGTTCTGTGAGAGTTACAATTAATGATTGTAACGAGAATTCCGTGAAAATCATCAAGGAAAACTGTCATTTAAACAAAATGAAGGTGAAGCTGAACATGAAGGAAGGAGACAGTGATGGAACTGTGGGAGATGGAGAAGAAAACACTGACACCATTGAGGTGACCAGAATGGATGCCAATGTTATCATGCATTTGAGATCATTTGATTTCATGTAAGTGTTGAATCTGTCAAAATTTTCTGGTTTGATGATGACACATCCCACCCCCACATCCCAGTGTGTGATTATTTGGAGAATTATGAAAGAGTCAGCCAACAGTCACTTGGTATTTTAAATATAATTCTGTCTTCCCAGACATGATGTGGGGACAGAACTTTAATCTTAAATATTTTAGAAGTTGCTATAAAAATATTTGCTCTTCCAGAATGGACTTTAAATATACGTGAAAATGTTAAGGCAAACTGGAGTTTTTTTACATAACTTCATTGTTCAATGAAGAGAAATGTCAAATCAGTCTTTTTTTTTTTTTTCTTAAAACTTCTACTGGTTTAAAATTCATCCCTTTGCATGTTGTTGTGTAGGAGAGTTTATTGCATCTCTTTTAACCATTTTTCAGCATATTAATTTTCAGTTAAAGTAGGCTAATTCTTCCAGGTTGAGTTTAGAGATGCGTGCATTCAAAACCTATATAGACATCAGAATAAATGATGGGATTTTTTTTATATTATTATTGGAAGTTTTAGTCCTGGTCCTTCTTTTTGTTTTAAATAAGAGGAAGTTATAAAATAGTGTTTTCCTCAGCGTAAAGCTAAACTCTGGAGCGTTTATAGACACTCAGTGGTGTTTCCTTTGTTTTCAGCCACTTGGACCCCTTTGGAACTTCAGTGAATTACCTGGATTCTGCCTTTAGGAATGTGAGAAACCTTGGGATTGTGTCCTTGACGTCCACAGACATCAGCTCTCTGTATGCAAAGGCTCAGCACGTCGCCCTGCGCCACTATGGGTGCAACATTGTCAGGACAGAGTACTACAAGGAGCTGGCAGCCAGGATTGTCATTGCTGCTGTCACCAGGTACTGCTGAACCCCCTCCAGTCACGGTAAAAAGCCATTAGGTAATTATTAGAAATAATTAGTGAGTGGGCAAGGTGCAAATGCATCAGTGGGGTAGGGGCGTGGGATGGCAATAGGAAATACCCACCCAGATTTGCAAACTCTTCCATTCCTCTGTCAGCTTTGTCATTTAGAGCTGCACAGGACTTCATAAATGCTAATGAAACTGCTTGGATGGCTTCTTGCTTCAGTGGAACCTGGTGTTCGCTTCAGATCCTCACTCTTGAGGTTCAGTGTCATCACTGACTTGCCAAATTAGTCATTGGCATGTAGATACTCAGTACATTCAGTCTGTTGAATAAATGAAGGCACAGAACCTAACTGGGAAAAAGAAAACATACAGGATGGGACACCTGCTTGGAAAAGCTGGGGGGAAATGAAGCACACAGAGGTTTTGGGAATCCCAGAGCACAAATGCTGACATGAACATAGATTTTGCTTCTCCATCTCCCTGCATGTGTGATGATGCAGGGGGAAGACCAGTATTTCTAGATGTGATAAAAAGAAGTAAACCAAGATTTGCTTGGCCTGGCAGGAGGAACCCAAACCAAGGCACTTCAGAAACACCACTTTCTCCTGATCTCTCAAACCTCGAGTCCATCTCTCCAGAAGGTGGATGAGCTCCAGCACCTCGCAGCAGGTCCAGGTGTCCGTGGCAGTGTTTGAATTTGATACAGTCTGGTTTTCTTTCCCTTCCCAGAGCTGCAGCTCGCTGTAACAAAGGCATTGAGGTGTTGCTGGCAGTGGCTCTGGAGCACTTTGTCCTGGTGGTGGTCAGAGTTCTGAGGGGCCCATCCACTGCAGACGACTCCGCAAAGAAAATCCGGTACCTCATCCACTGCCAGTGGTGTGAAGAGAGGATTTTTCAGAAAGAGGGTAATATGGTAGAAGGTAAATGGCTTTTTTTTTTTTTTGCACTTCTAGAAGGTCTGATTCCTGTGTCTCTGTTTTGTGCCTTGCTTATATTTACATCCCATTAGTAACGGTTCCCTTGGATGTAACAATGGGTGTTTTGTGTGAGGTGGAGGGGGCACTGTGCTTTGTGGTCATGGGTTAGATTAGTTGTGTGCATGGATTTTCCTGTAAATGTGCTGGATTTGTGGCACAGGTTGCCCAGAGAAGCTGTGGCTGCCCCATCCCTGGAAGTGTCCAAGGCCAGGTTGGATGGGGCTTGGAGCAACCTGGGCTAGTGGAAGGTGTCCCTGCCCATGGCAGGGGGTGGGATGAGGTGGTCTTCAAGGTCCCTTCCAACCAAAACCATTCTGGGATTTGTCTCTAGACAGAACATCCTACTAACTAGCTGTAGCTGCTGAAGCTGCCAGGATGCCTGGTATGTCCATGGATCTGCCATTTCAGGAAAGGCCAGAAGAGTGGGGCAGCCTTGGCTACTGTTGGGTTCCTCCAGACAGCAGCAGCTTGACAGGTTTTGGTGTCAGGTTGCTTTTCTGCTGCTCATTTCAGTTCCTTAAAATGTAGTGGACTGCACAGTCTCACTTTCCCCTCCTGTTGTTCATGGGCTGTCTCAATACACGGGTCAGCAGAGGGAGGAGATAAAAATTACACTAGAGATGGTGCTTTGAATGAATATAAAAGCTAAAACCTTGTTTCAAAGTCAGGGGCTCTTGGACATCTCGCTCCTAACTGGTCCTGCCCTGCTCCAGGTCAGGTGCACGAGCTTGGTATTAAAAAGGTTTTTAAAAAATCAGTTCTAAGGATGGGAATGAGCAACTGGTAATTACAGTGGTAGAGATCTTAATTAGTAAGTGAATTGTTTACTTAATGTCTTAGTTGCACAGGGCTTAGAAAACTCGTAGGTGTTTTGTAGGTGTAGCTGGCTGTGTCTGAAATGTCTTTGGTTGTATTTACTATTAACTTGGACAATTAGTACATAAGTGTAAGAAGGCAAATAATTTCCCTGTTACTTGAAAAAAACATAGGAAGTTATGTGGCTTTTTTTTTTCCCTTCAGTGTTTTAACACTGCTTTAAAGATCAAGTCATCAGTCACTAAATTCTCAGCTTGAGCTGCTTGGCAGCAGTGAGAACAGTGTCACACTCGTGCTGCTGCCCTTCCACTCTCTCCCCTGCAGTGGGCTCTGGCTGTGTCTCTGCAGTAACAAGGGCATTGCTGGCTGTTCCCCACAACTTCAGCCCTGTTTTTCTGTTGCAGAGAACCCTTACCAGCAGCTGCCCTGTGACTGCCATGGCAGCATGCCCGGGAGGACAGCCGTGGTCCTGGGGCCTCTCTGGTGAGTGCAGTTGGGTTGAAGGAGCTCTGAGGGGCAGTTGTCAGTCCTGTCACATTCCCATTCTGTTGGGAATGTTAGCACCACAAAAGGAGAGGAGTTCAGGAAACAGATCATGGATTTCAGTGTAGTCAGTTGTTCAGTTCTTGCTTTTGTTCAAACCACTTAATAAATAATAACAAGCTTGCTTTAGATTTCACACTCAGTGCACTCATGGAACACGTCCTGCACAGGGGAATCTCCTCCTGTGTTCCTCTAGTGGTCTGATGTTAAGCAACTCCTTTTTACTCTATGCTTGTGGAGAATTCGTTTAGTAAATCATTACATGTACTGACCATAGTAAATAAGACACTGCTTAATAATTAAGACTTGTGAGAAACAAGAGCAAAGCTTTTTAAGTCTTTTGACCATTTCAGCATTAAAAACAGCTGACAATTGACAGTACCTTTCTTGTGGGGGTTAAATGACTTTCTCAACATATTAGGGCAGGAAAAAAAATACCTATTCTTGAGATCTTGAATATTTTTTTAATAAGACCGATGTTACTGTCATTGCAAACAAAGTAATTCAGCTTTGATAAGTTAAAAACACTTTCAGCCTGATGCAGCACTTTGGTGGAGCAATTGCTAATCAATTTGGGCAAGAGATTTCTAGAGCAGTTTTTTCGTTTTCATTAAAAGAAGTGTTAACTTTTTATCCCCCTTACATGTCCCAGGTCAGGGAGCCTCTTTAACACTGGATTCCTCAGGAGGATGCTGTTGGAGGCTGTGCAGTATGGCTTGGATGAAGCCCAGCCACTCCTGAAGACGTTAGTTTGTGAAGCAGAGTGCACAACTTTAAAACATTTCTCTACCCATGGTCCTGGTGATGAGAACAAGCAAGGTGAGAAGAAGGGCAGCTCTGTGGTGATTTACAGATGCTGCTCTGTGATAACTTATTTAACAGCAGTGTGTCCATAAAATTCAGTGCATTATTGAATAACAGAATGAATTCTTTCTGTGTAATTATTTTTCCACTTTACAGTAGAACTAATTTTGACTTTATTCCTATTCTAGAAGAGTGTGGTGTGTATATTAAAACCTCAAACACTTCTGCAGAGTCCTACGTGGTACTTGGTAAGTGGATCGTTTTGCTGTAGCAGTTGGGCAGGTTTTGTTCTTTACTCTATAGTTTTTCTCCACTGAATACTGATTTTACTTCATCTTAATCTCTCATCACATTTATCATATCATCATTTTGGTCAAAGCAGAATGCTGAATGCTCCATGAAGCCCACTTTGCTCGTTATGACTGAAACCAGCCTGTTCATGAAATCCAGGCTGGATTTTAACTCTGCACGTACTGCCTTAGAAAAGCACAGGGGGAGGTGCTGCGGGGCTCGTTTCATGTGCCATCTTGGGCTTTGGTCGTCTCCCTGGCTACTCACTGGTGTCCTGGCCTGTTTCTGTGGTGCAGGGAAGAGGAAGGGTGAGGAGGTGACGCGCGGGGCCAAGCGCCAGCGAGCGGAGCACAGCGCCGAGCACCCCGCCTTCTACTACAACGTGCACCGGCACAGCATCCGCGGCATGAACATGCCCAAGTAAGGCTGCTCCAGCAACACAGCTCCTGCTCAGGCAGCCTCAGCAGCGCCACCTGCTCTTTACACGTGTGCCTTTGGTTTTTTTCCAGGTTGAACAAGTTCCTGAACTACCTGTCCGAAGCTGGGTACAGGGTGAGCCGCACCCACTTCGACCCCATGGGGGTGCGCACCAACGCGCCCCTGGCGCAGTTCAAGACTGTCCTCATGAAGTACAGCACCCCCACGTACACGGGGGGGCAGGCAGAAGGGCCTGTCCACCTCCCTGGAGATGTCCAAGTGGAAGAAGAGGTTCCAGCTGTTGCAGATATCAAGGAAGAAGATGCTGAGTTTCCAGAAGAAGATAAATCTGGAGTCGCTGAGGCCGTGTCCACACCATCCTACCCCACTGACTGTGCAGCTGATTAATGTGGATAGTTTTGTTCATGCCATCAGGATGTTCCGGACTCGAACACACCCCATTCCAGTGAGCTACTCCTTCCCAAACTGCATTTTGAGCTGCCCGTTTTACTTTGAAGGGGCATTTTAGACTTATGTAGCAAAACTTAGCCCTCATCCCAGCCTGGCTACAGTCATGGAACTGTGCAAAGGTCTTGGAGAGTTACCTGCTTTTACACTCCCATGCTCTTCACACCGAGGCTGCTCCCCTGTCTGGTCAAGCCCTACTGCCAGCACAGCATCCAGGAGGGTGGACAGGGCCAAAAGTCTTCAGCAGTTTGGAATGTGAGGTGGAGGTGAAACAGCATATTCCTAAAAAGCATCACTCCTAAAACCTGGCTGGTTACAATCCAGAGGGCGGGCATGCTAAGGTAAGAATATAGCACAGGATAAAATGCAAAGTGAGTTGAAGACAGGAATTCCTGCCTGGGTGCACCTGGAGCTCCAGGCTGCACATGGAACTGTGTTCAGGTCCCTTTCCATAGCCCTGCTCCAGGGCAGAAGGGAAGGAAGGTGACACGACTGCTACTGAAACTCCAGTGTATAACCAAACCTTAGTGAATTGTGTAGTCACTCTAGGTAGTTGTTTGCTCAGAGGTCACACTGGTTGTGTGCTGCAGAAAGGTACAGGGACGAGGGACCACAGCTGACGTTCAGGTGAAGTTCTGCCATGAGTTTGTCAATAATAAACCTTAGGTGAGAAAAATCTCTTCTGTGAACGAGCAGAGGTGCCGTGTGTTGGCAGTGGGTTCTGGTTTCCTTAAATACATGGCAGCATTCCAGCCAAACAAGCTTGACTTTGTCCTTTCTTTCCCTCAAACTTTGTTCTGATGCCTCTGTGTTTCAGTTGAGTAAGGACCAGCTCTCACAGTGTTTCTCACAGGTTTGGTGTTCAGCTGGCCCCTGGTGTTAGGGTTATCAAGGAGCAGAGTATCAGGGCTTATTATCCTTATTTATCCATCTCTGAAACTTTGCAACAAGAGTACCGTGACCGATACACTCCTGATTATGCAGAACTTCCCGCACTCCTGTCAGGCCAGAAGTTGCTGCCTCTTACATCCTCTTCAATTCCAGAGCTCTTTGGTGATGAGTTATTTTCACTCTGCTCTGATTTAAAAAAGAGGAGCCCACTGAAGGGATCATGGATCAGTGATACAGCAACAGAGTTTCCTTCAAAAATGCTGTGCTTATAATTCTTTTCCAGAGATCACCTGGGATCAAATTGGAAAGAGAGAGGGAGGAGGAAGAGAATTTCACATTCCCTAGTCACATTTTTGGGTTTTCAAGTGGAATGCGTTGGCAGGCTGTGCTTGCAGGTAACATACTGCTCACTTCAGTGTTAATGGATCAGTCCTAAAGTTGGTTACCTGGAGCAAAAATCGTTCCAATTACAGTAAAGTAGGTTAAAAAGAATGTTTAATGAAGCCCCTTGTGGGAAATGTTTTTGATTACTCCTGCAGCTCCTCCTAAGGAACAGAAGGTATTGTGCACCTTTTCCAAGCCAAGACAACTATTCCCAGGTATTTGGAGCAGCAGAGAAAGTGAAATTCAGGCCAAGATAGGGCCAGTCGTGCAGTAATTAGTTACCAGAACCCCAGAGTTTGTTCGAGGCTGGAGCTTGGGGCCTTGTACTGACCCACAGTGCCAGGGTTGGCTGGTACAGCAGGGAACAGAGTGGGAAACGGGAGGATAATGCAGGTGGTGGTGGCAAGGCCACAGCTGGTCCTGTGTGCACTCAGAGCTGGCCAGTGTACCAGCCACCACCATTGCCACACCTTCAGCACCTCTTGGTTGGGTCAGGGTGTCTGCAAGTGGCTTGTGCTGAACAGAATGAGAACTGCTGGAAGCCTGGAAATCAGTGTTGGGCCATCAGCTGGACAGCAGGCTGGAGCATTAGTGCCAGAGGGCAAGGGGAAGTTGTAGGATGTGATGCAGTTCCCACTGTGGGTGGTGCAGTGGCACCTCGGATGCTTTGTACCTGGGGACACGGCCACCTCCCTGCTGCAGAACCCATGAGCACTCAGGATGTTTTCTGCTTAGCTGGGATTTAGGGAAGCTTTAAGGGAGTTTAGGCTGTTCAAAGGCAACTAGGATAATCAGGGGCAGCCCAGGGGGCAGCAGGAGCACGGGCACAAAGGGATCTCCTTCCACACTGGGAGAGCTTCAGTACAGCTCTTGGTGAACACAGACATTGCCTCAGCTCAAGGGGCAACCTCTGGTTAACAGTTGTAAATGCAGAGAGAAAACAAGCAAAGGAACAAAACTTCACTTTAAAATAAAATAAGGCACCTCAGCCCAGGTGATTTACAGTTGCCCTCCACTGCTTTGGACAGAAGCTGCTTCGTGCAGTTCAGTGCAACAAAAGTACCGGGGTTTAACCCAGTGCTGCGAAAATCCTTCATCCCCTTCCTGGGGCTACAGGATCTGACTGGAACAGGAACACTTGAGACAAGTCAGTGGAAGAGCTGCTGCCTCCTATGTGCCTCTATTTCTCATTCAAGGCACAGAACACCCTTTGGAGTTCACTGCTTCCAAGGGACTGGAACACCCAACACGGTGGAGCTCAGGGGCAGCACTAAAACACACCCCAAAGGGCTTCTTTTATCAGCTACAACAGGAAGCAGCACTGAAAGTTCCAACAAGTTGTTGATAACATTTTTGCTTTTATTGTCAGTTTGAGCATTTCAGTGGGACTTTAGTTGGATAGGACTTAAGTTAGGCTTACCCGTACCTAACATGTTATGTACTTGAAAATAACACGGCTTTGAAAGGGGCAAGAGTAACATCATGTTGAAAATAAAATAGTTTCTAGCACTAAAGAGTCACAGTGCAATCAATGGTTTAATCAAACAACTACATTATATATATAATATTTAAAGAACATAAATATTCAGGAAATTCACTACAACATGAAAATAAAAGCTTCACATTCTCCCACACTTTTTGAAAGAACTGGGGACAAAGTGACAGACAGCTCCTAGACAGACTGCTCAGCTTCACAAACACCCCTCTTGCTTCAGGGCCTGTTCATCCCTACAGCTCTCACACTGGAAGGGATGCTGACAACTAATCTAGAAGTTCCCCCATGAATTTAAAGCATTTCCCATGGCTGCTCCCCCACCCCCCGCTTATATTCTGTGGACATGCACTACTAGTCTATACAGCAACGTTTCACCAGAAAGTAAGAACGTATTTCCTTAAGAACTGCCCCCTCTGTGTTCTGGGGCTTCAAAACTTCAAGTCACAAACCCCCAAGTCTCTCCAGTCAGAGAAAACAATTCAGTTACTCAAGGAAGCCTGTGCAGTTTTCAGCGGGATAAAGCTGACCTGGAACAGCAGCTGGAAAGGACATGTATTTACAGGTGCTAGGAAAGCCTGGAGCCAGGGAAGGGTAAATCCTTCCCAGGAGAATCCCCAAGCATTGGAATACTGGTGTAGCACATGCCAAACCCAGTGGAACCGCGGGCAGCACACAGGAGGAGCAACACTGTGGTGTGAAGTCTTGCTTCTCACCCATCACCAGCTCTGCCTCGAGCTCCAGGTGCAGAGAGGTGAGGGGTCATCAGCAAGTCCTCCAGCAAAGGGAACCTCGTGGGGACAGAACATCCTTCAGGCAGGACACAGGGGAAGCAGCTCCCCCAGAGCCACAGCCAAGCCCAGAGCCTGGGCAGAGGGGTGGAACATGCAAACAGCAGCTCCCAGGCCTCACGAGGGCCCAGTGCCAAGCTGGAACACTCAAACCTAAGGTTAAGACACTCAATGGTACACGTTGTCAAGTACTAAAGTTGTCTTCCAAAGTGCTAAGCCATGTTTGTTAAAGCTATGGCAAAGGAAAAAAAGGAGAATCTTGGAGCAGCTTATGGTTGAAGTCTTTCCTACTCGCACACCAGGATAAGGTCACTGCTGGGGTGGCACAGTTCCCTAAAGCAAAGCATTTTGATGGCCATGTGCTGGAATTTGGGGGATTTGCTTTAAAAAACAAGTTTTCCAGACAGTTCTTTAGAGCACATTGTAACATGCTCACAATAGAGATCCCACTCCAGGGAACAGAGCAGGGCTGTGACACTTCCACAAGATTTACTTCCCTTAAGCTGTGAGGACAGGGCATTGTCAGAGAGGCAATCATCAGCACTGGCACATCCTGCATGGGGAAGAGTTACGGGTTTGGGTTGTTTGGGCTTGTTTTGACTGAAAACCAAACCAATCTCATGAATCCCCTTGCCCCGAAGGATCAAATTAAGCCCAGTAAACAGCAAGGTTTCCAAGATTTCTCACTGCAGCTCTATTTAGAATCACAGAATCCCAGAATGGTCTGGGTTGGAAGGGACCTTCAAGACCATCTAGTTCCACACCCCCTGCCATGGGCAGTGATGCCTCTCACAAGATGCCAAACTCACATTTGTTCACAAGAAAATGACTTAATAAACCTTTCCTAGGGAATCACCTCTAGCTGCAAGGCCATCCAAAATCCGTTCTCTACCAATCTTTCAGATGGAGAACTGGTACCAAATTCTAACATTTAACACCTTCCTTGGCATATGCTACTATCGAACAGACTTCCTTGGCCATCAATACTTCACAGAGGCTACTGTAACTGTGTCAAATGTAGGAGAAATCCAGATTTACCTGGACAAAATGAAGACATTCCAAACTGGAACACTTGCTCAGTTATCATGCATTAGGAACAAAAAAAGCATGTCAAACACTGGAATGCACTGGATGGAGAAGGTCATTTAGTCTCCTAGGGAAAAACCAAAAAACCCAACCCTAAAGACTAAATTAAATACAGCCCAGAATACTGTCTAATCATATTACTGAGTATACTGAGGGTGCCCGAAGGCAGCACGTGTATTGTCCAGGAAGATACTGGTGGTGCCTTCTTTTCATATTAAAGAAGTTGTAGCTATAAAAAGAGTCAGTCCCAGCCCAGTTTCCCAGCATGGCCTATTTGTGCTCCTTCGTGGGCGCATAGTACAGTTCCATGGGCTTGTTCACCTTCCAGTACTTCTCACTGACCAGTTCCAGGGAAAACGACCCATTTAGCACCTGGAAG